CCTTTAGCCAAGGTCGTTGACCCTGTGGTAGGAGACCCGATTGTGTCCGAGAATTATGAGTTATGAGTAGTTAATTTAACCCAAAATCATAATAATAAAAATGACAGCGAAATTAGTAAAAAAAAATTTGAAAGACAGTTTATCTGAGACACATGGTTTGGACCATTTTATATGTAACTAGCTGACCCGGCGAACTTCGTACCGCCTTAGCGTAGAGATTTTCTTAATATTTTTTTCCGTAAGAACCATCCTTGGACTTCCACAAACATTTAAAAAAAAAGAATTATCGAAATCGGTTCAGCCGTTCACACGTGATGCCGTGACAACGCGAAACGGGTTTCATTTTTATATATATAGATGTAATAACTAAATTCATGCCTGGACACTTCATCATCAAATTAGAAGTACCCTCACAAGACAAGTAGCACTAAATATAATTTTCATTTTCTTGAAAAATAGTCCTTATTGCAACTAAAATAAGATACCACTGTTTAACTCGATACGCTATCGCTCGTGCCTTCAAATATTTCCAGCAGCGTCATAATATCACATTATTTATTTATTTATTTATTTAAAGACTTTATTGCACACACAACAATGTTCAGTACAAAAAGGCGAGCTTAATGCCATAAGTCATTCTCTACCAGCTGACCTTGAGCAAAACAGAGATATTGAGTAGGCGGTGCTAAAAAGCTACAAAAATGTACACAATATAATACATAAAATATTATAATATATATACATAAATACATACATATAATTTATATAAAATGGATGACGAGAGGTAAGGGAGGATAGGAGAGGATAAGGGAGAAAAGGAGAAAATAAGGGAGATTAAGACGACTTGTCACCAAAACCACATAATAGATAGTAGAACTCAAGTAAAGTGGTTAATGCGTTCCATAACACATACTTGGCATACCTGACAAGTTAACGAAATGAGTTCTGTGCGTGACTGTACGTAACGAACACGGTTTGATGCGCCGCGACTGTACCTTGCTCAAAAATACATAATCACTGAGTGTGAAGGTGTGGTGTCAGTAACAGCGAGTACGATTTTAAGTAAAAAGTTAACCATTACAGCTTTTAATGATATCTATTAGCTATAGATAGCTCAATCTTAAACAGTTATTTTAATTTTTTCATTTTTTTTATCTATGTAGAATGTAGAGTCGCCAACAAATTCGACCATATTTTTTGCAGTAGCACTTACGTCACAAAATGCCATATTTTTGCCGACTTAGAAAAAGAGAATATTGTGGTCAATTTAACTATGTTTTAAAACAATTACATATCATTTAATCAATATAAAAACCAAAATACAATCAAAATACTGAAATTGTTTTTGGTCATTATTAGGTGTTTTTAGTTTAAATTTTTTAAAATTCACTTAACTACGTTAAAATGCGTAGCTTTCTTAGTATTATGATTCCTATTGGCTTATTTACTGTGCTATAACAATAAAAAAAATATCTATACCTCCCGCTACAACCAGACCCCCAATTCTCGCCATACATACAAGTCCAGGTACAATCATGTAAATAAGTTGAAGCTGGTGAAATTTAATTAAGATGATATATGAGACGCCGGGGTTAACGGGCCCGTGGCGTACTGTCAGCAAAACAGCTACCAGTTTATACATATTTTATTTTGAGATAAAAATCATTTTTGTGCGACATGCACGCGACATGAAAAAGGTATACAGGGTGTTGTCGATTTCGTAATTGCATAATGATCAATTATACGTGTTACCAATTATTTTAAAATATTTTTTTCGAACTTGCGGAAACTATTACCGACCCCAGTCGTATTTAGATCTAAAATATGAAACTGTAACAAAAATCCGAAGTCTTAATACTATCATGAAGTAACAAATTGTATTACAATTGAAATATCACGTATAATTATTGTGTATTTTTTTATATTATTAGTTAAGTACTTATTTAAAGTTTTTATGTGTCTTCTTCTTCTTTCATTGTATAAAATAACCCAGTTTGCAACCTGTTGTGTTACTGACACATGATTACACCTTTAAAAGTGCCAATTTCCAGAATAAACACTCTGTATAAGTAAATATGTGACAAGGTTAAATTTTTTCGAATGCGATTAATCGAGTGCCTGTTTTTGGACTTTGATGAATCAGACTGTCAGTTTGTCTGATTTGTAAAATGTCTACGAGATTTTATCCTGGACCTGTATGTTTGTGACCTCACTGTAATCGATAGTGACATAAGCTACCTGTGTATACAGGGTGTTAATTTTATACAGGGTGTTAGGTAAATGGGTATATGAGCCGACACTAGCCCATGTTAACATGGTCATATAAATGGTATGGCGAAGTTAGAAAAATTGATATCTTAATTTTTTTTATTTTAATTTTCATACAAATCGGATTTTATAAAATTAATTTTGTATGAAAATAAAAAAAAATAAAATGATGATATCAAATTTCTGACTTCACCATACCGTTTATATGACCATGTTGACACGGGCTAGTGTCGGCTCATATACCCATTTACCTAACACCCTGTATAAACTGAAATAAAAAATATTTCTATTATTATAATGTGCAAAAAAAAATCTAGAAACGTAATGAAAATCTCAGCAGTGATTTCCTAATGTTGTAAATAATATTACGTAGTTTTTAAGTTCCTGTGGCTCTACAAGGGTTTTATAATCTATTGCTTAATTAATTCGAATAATTTTATTATTAACCCGATAGTATAGAATTAATTGCTCCAAAATATAAGTATTTCTTTAATAAGTAATTTTAAGGTGTCAAAATAACGGAAAAAATAAAATTACTAACTTTTTTCCTGTGCAAATAAATCATCCACCAACAGAAGGCTTGCCGAACATAAGTGATTCGTAGATAGCATCTCTGTCATCGCGCTGCCGACCGTACCTCGTAATTACCGCCACCGCATACCTCGTTGGTGCGCGCGCGCACACAATGTCCAGATTTTTCTTTTTCTCCATTCTTTTTTTATCTTTTCCCATTTTTAAAACCATCTCGCCGCAGGAAGTCGTATATTTAACATCGCCTCGCGTTCCACGAACTAATTTATAGTAGAACTCCGTATTAGTACTACTAACTCCAGTTATAACTGTGTGACATTCGACTTTATAGGTTTTCTATTTTGGAAGCATAGAATTTTGTAAGGGAAGTTGTTAGTCAGACGTCTTTTGTTTGTCGTTTTAGTGTTCTTGTGTTATTTTGGAATACTGTCATGTTGTAAAATTTATATCAATGTTGCGTTTGGTTTTAGTAACGTTCGGTCAAATTGTTGCCATGTGAGGGAAATTTTGTTTGTAGAAAACTCATCTTTATTGTTTAAAAGTTAGGACTTAAAACGTTCTGGCCGTATATTCTAGAGTCTAGACAATGTCAACTCATACTTTTACTTATGTTCAAACGAATTCAATCTCTATAGTCAAGTGCAGAGTGTTAAATTTCTCATGCCTACTTCAACAAGACCTACAGTTATCACGTCGAATCACTAAGTTCAGTGGCAAGCTTGTATTGTAACTCATACCACGCTACTACATTTCAATCAACATGTGGCTGTTATTACGTTGCAGTACATTTTATATTTGTGTAGCAAATGACGTTCTCATCTGTCCACTGTACTCTAGTGATGGGAAAGGTGTCAATTTATCAGTCGACATTTATTTTAAAAAATAAGTTTAATATCTGTTAAAAAACATTGGCGTTTATTTTTGATTTTTGTGTGTTTCAAGAGCTTCCTCGTTGTGGATAAAAAGAAAAAGAAAGATTTTTTTTGTAAATTGAGCACTAGCCTAGATATAAAAATAACCGTATATCTTTGCTAATGTAACGTGGCAATATTTTATTAGCAATAGAGAATTTTCTGTGTATTTTAAGAATAACTAATTGCAGAACGAACTTGAATTTTTCGATCTTTATTTGAGAACAAGCAAACGGAAGAAAAAATACGTTTAAGTCTGTACTATATTATGTAGATCACGAACGAACGATTGATCATAGAAGTTTAGTCTCATTTTGTCAGTCTTGCGACAGCTAAAATTAGTCTTAGGCTGGGTTGCACTGCACAATCTTACTTTAACTTTGACAAACGTCAAAAATCTGTCAAACTCCATACAAAAACACCGGTTATTTTTACGGTCAAGGTTAGGTGGTGCAACTCAGCCATAGTCCCGTTAGCCGCCTGTACTAAGCTAAATATGCTTGTTACGAGTGGGCCACAATAGTCGAATTTCTGACTACAAAAAAATCTGTCAAATAAAAAAATCAAAACAAAACAACGCAACTGCCCATCCCTATTCAGTTGAAACTCACGCGCATCGGAAACGGCGCGTCTATGCGCGAGCGCAGCCGGACGCGGTTGTTTACTGCCGTCGCTGCGACTTGTTAGCATCGATCCGGGATCATCGGATTTATCGAATCCAGTACGGTTAGCAGTTGACGTGTTAATGACATTCACAAGGACGTGTTTAACACGGTTTATTTTTGTTCTACGATAATATTATAAAGAGGAAAGAATAAATTGATTATTTGTTTTATTGAATAGGCTCTAAAACTAGTGGACCGATTTGAAAAATTCTTTCACCATTAGAATCCTACATTATCTGATGAATATAGGCGGTACGAAGTTCGCCGGGCAGCTACATAGTTTGCTTATAAACCCGGCGAATTGAAGCCATTCCAGCCATTATATCGTTAAATGTCTAATTTTAAAAATAAGCTGAGACTGATCCTGTATCACTGAAGTCGAATTGTAGACCAATTAATGACTTATTTCAGTATTTTAGGTTAAATTTGGAGTTTTTTTCTACATAGAGAAGTTACGAAGTTAGTGACTATGACGATAATGATGACATAATTTTGACACACAAGTCACTAATTTGCACTAGCAAGTCACTAGCTTTGCTTAGTTTGGGACTTGAGGCACAGTGTAAAATGTCCAAGGATATGCATTTTTTTCTGTTACTTATACAGTAATTAAAACTAATTACAGATCACTAGAAAAAGGCAGCAGCAGTTCAGCGAGCGACAAGCCGTCTGAGAGTACAGCCAGCACCAACAACAAGGAGCAGAACAAAAAGCCCCACATAAAGAAACCCCTCAACGCTTTCATGTTGTACATGAAGGAAATGCGGGCGAAAGTCGTGGCCGAGTGTACCTTGAAGGAATCGGCCGCCATTAACCAAATATTAGGCAGACGGGTGAGTATTTTTTCTAATTCTTTACGCAGACTGTACTTTTTTTATTTCATATCGATATTTGAGTTAAATTTTATTTTTGGCCATTTTTTTGTAATTAAAAAAAATTATAATAACGTACTTAAAAATTGGGTCGAATTAAATTGTGATTCGAATCAAACTACTTACAGTATTGAATTTCGAGACGTTAAAAATTATTTTAATAAATCAAAACTTTTTTTGTCAACGCTACTATCGAGTCAAATGTCAAAGTGATTACTATTTCCGATTTAAATGTTTATAATTTACAATGTTTCGTTTTCATTGTTAATCTTGAAGGAATGTTGACAGTTTATGGCACACAATAGCGACATCTGCAGTCTTACTAGTGCTGAATATTAAACGGTTAACGATCTACCAAGAATCGAANAATGTTTATAATTTACGTTTTCATTGTTAATCTTGAAGGAATGTTGACAGTTTATGGCACACAATAGCGACATCTGCAGTCTTACTAGTGCTGAATATTAAACGGTTAAAGATCTACCGAGAATCGAACCCGCGCGTTTCGTAGAACCGATCTCATTCCAGCAAGAGTAACAAGTCAACCCTACCAATAGTTCAATTAAGTTTTATCCCGTTTCGTGAATTCCCGATTGGGGCAATCAGTTTTATTGGCAACAAAAATACGTTTTAATTTGTTTTGAAGATACGAGCTTCGGTTACTAAGTGCGAATAAATGTACTTGAAAAACGTTTCAATTTCAAAATTATTTATTTTATCACTAATATACAAGGTGTGGCAAATTATATTTCTATGGAAGGCTACATTATTACATGTTTATTTTCTACATACTTTGTCTATAAGCCATTTTTTGCTAGTCTCAACGTGATATGTCTATCATCGCGATTCAATTTGTATGACTAATGACCGTCGGACCAACGTTAACAGATAACCCAGATGACACGACGCTCCGTGTTTAATAAATGATCGGATCAACGTGGCAAAGGTCAAAAGTTTTCACCTGTAACAGGCCATTGTGTTTAGAAAGCACTCTTCCTATATACTTACATCAGTAGAGCTATGTTTAGTCCAGAATACACATAAGAAAAGTGGACTTTTTAAACATTTTTTTTGTTACCAATAAAAAACTAAAAGTCCCAATCGAGATTGCACGAAACGGGCTCACACCGAGGGACGATGTGTGGTCGCCGTGTCAGTTGGTAACGCAATATCCCATAATACAGTGGCACTCGTTGAGCCGCGAGGAGCAGGCAAAGTACTATGAGAAAGCGAGACAGGAGAGGCAGCTCCATATGCAGCTATATCCCGGCTGGAGTGCGCGCGACAACTACGGTTACGGGTCCAAAAAGAAAAAGCGGAAAAAGGACCGCAGTCCAGCCGAGCTGGGAGGTATTGGACCCTAGGATCTTCCGACACGAGGGCTGGGCCACGTCGACGCTTTTGTACACTCGCTTCACCCCACCGTCCCCTCCCGTCGCCCGGCACCAAGACTCCCCGCACTCACCCTGCTGAGACTCTTGGCTGCGGGACTAACCGACCGGCTTGTCACTAACTGAGCAATCCCCGTCTGTCCTGTATGTGAGTGTGCGTGTGTGCGTGTTCTCGACTCTTATGTACCCTCTGTACCGCGTTTCTGTGCTAGAAAAGCGGCTGGAACCTTCTAAGTCGGAGTAGCAGCGCGGGACGGAGGCTTCGGCGCGCCGACCGCCGCCCCGCGCCTCGTTGTTCGTGTTTGTGTACTTAGTCGTCGAGTGACCTTGTTGTACTCGTACACCCTAACACCCCTATCGGAAACTATATTGGTTTGTTATATGTTACGAGCCGCGACTCCAATGACCGCAGAATAGGTTCTGTGAGGAACACCCCAATTGGCCATTCTCATAGGAACAAAATTTTATATCGAGCTCACGCGGGCTGTTTTTCTAGCACCGGCGTTAGGGACGCGTCGTCCACGGCACGACCACGGTCGAATGCATTTTCTTTTGTTTCCATATTGCGGCGGTTGTGTAGTGGCACGCACTCGGCCGCGAGGAGCAAGCCAAGTATTACGAGTTGGCGCGGCGCGAGCGCCAGCTGCATATGCAGCTCTATCCCGATTGGTCGTCTAGGGCTAATACGCAAAGGGGCAAGAAGAGGAAGCGAAAACAGGAGACAACCGATGGAGGTACTGCCTTTCTCTCCGTCGAGCTGCGCCCGCTTTCGAGTCCCTCCCATCTCGGCCGCCGCTGGCCGGAGCAACGGACGTCTCCGCTCATTAAAAAATGAGGTCAATTAATTAAGGATTAACAGGAGACGCTCGTTGCTCCCTCCCCGCACCTATCCCTCCCCGCGGGAGTTCAATTGCTTTGAACTCTGAACGAACGATATTGCCGAATGTCAGTGGTTGGGGTACAGGTTGTAGACTACCAGTATTTTGTTTTATATTTATCGCATTTATTTATTTTCCTTTTGTTTTGTTGATACGACGCTATCGAGACACCCTGTGTGGCGCTCCGAAGGTTGTCCCGGTTTTTGGCTTGCCACTTGCCCGGGCGCGTGCATGGCCGGGCGCCGGCTGCTTCGAGGCTAGGCTGGCCAAGCGGGACAGTGTCCCGCGGGCGCTGGGACAGCCTTCGCGCGGCGATCGGATGCATGGGGCTCGCGCAGGGACCGCAGCACTCCTCGGCTACTGTTGCGGTGTTCAATGATTCTGGCCAAAGAACTTGTTTATTTTGATTCCGGAGAACCTATTCTGCTTAAATTTTGCTTATAAGCGTCATCTTTATTTGTGGTTTTGTTTTCCGATAGCAGTATACCGTAGTTAGTTTTATTTTCGAAAGTTATGCGTGTAGTATGTTATTTTAAAACCAATGTTTTTTCCGTTCTGATCCCGTTCATTTTCCCTCTCCCGCATGGTACTAACATGATAAGGGGGTTTTGGGTGCATGGCTTTTTCGTAGTGAGTAGTTGTATTTGTGATTATTTTAAGACGCTTCAAATATGATTTCCGGTAAATTATTTTTCGCTGATGACATTCGCAATCTTTCTTTGGATCATGGACGCGACGCAGAAATGTTTACTCGACATCATATTTATTAGCAACATTCAAATTTAACTTTATTCTGATTAATTTTGCAAGATTTTGATTTGCCAAAGTACTTAATTCCAAAAGTAAAAAATCTATTAAAGCTGAAATTAATTTATTTTTCAATCCAGCAGAAGAATTATCAATTTATGTTAACAGTGTTTGCGAAATTTTGATGGGTGTATTCTAACGAATTTCCAACGTACTTTCAGGAAATAATTTGAAGAAATGTCGAGCGAGGTACGGCCTCGACCAACAGAACCAATGGTGCAAGCCTTGCAGGTGGGTCTTCCCTTTTTCTTTTTTATTTGTTTTCGCTTTTAAAGTCTTCGATCTCGGTACCACCAACCAGCGGTGCAGCTGGTGCACTGCTGGTTGACAACCATTATTGTTTCTATGTGGAAAGACTTGGCTTATCTTTAGTAATTTACCATCGACTTTCCAAGAGGAGCCTGGTCGTTTAATGTTTATTTTAGCATTATTTTTTCAAATTCTTTTTGTAGTTGTTGTGATTTTTGTTTATTACTTGTTTTTGGTTTACTTACGCTCTGATAAAGAGCTATTAGAATAAGAACTTAATTAGTTCAAGTGCAGTCGATTCAGAAAATGTGTCTTTTCACAAAGAAATAAATTTCGATTTAGTATCATCACGGATTTTTTTGAAAGTAGTCCTAGTGTGGAGGCGTAGTGACAATAGGCTTTAGAAGAATAGTCGAAATAGTGGTCAGAGAAAGGGCAATCATTTGTCGACGAAAAAAGCTTTCAAAAAAATCTTGACACATTTTCTGAATTGCACTCGCTTTTTCTTTGAATTATTGATGAATTTAGCGAAACTGTTATAAATGTAAAGGTATACGTATACTTATGGACATGTTTTTTTCACTCATGATTGCCGCTTCTCACGGATCGATGCTGCATTCGGCTGGCACTATTGGTGAATTTGTAAAATCGGTTTGCTCCTTTATTTTGATTGAATCGCCAAACGCTATTCGATTCGACAATCCTGTTGTTTTATTTTCAACTACTATCTCTTTTACATCTTCATTATCTTCAACCAATTGTTTATCATCATTAATTTCATTTACTATCCCAATTCTGTCCCAAATTCTTCCTTCAAATTCAAAATTCTAACCTAAAAATCTGCCTCAAAATCTTCCTGCCCCCAAAACCAAAGCCCCCTACCGTACTTCCTGGGCTACAGCCCCGAGTCGAGTAGCGTTATGGTGTCGGGGGGGCTGGGACTGCTGCGGCCGGAGCCGACGACGCCGCTGTCGGCCGCAAGCCTGGTCGCCAGCTCCCAGGAGCCGACGTACGTGAACCTCTAGTGCCGGCGCCCCGCCGCCGGAGAACACACGGTCAGTCGCGAGAGTGATGANTAATGATGATGATGCGTGATGAAGTGTTGGAATGTCAGGAGATGATGAGGCGATAGCGTGATGTTGCGAAATTTATACGACCTTTTGTAAATCTGCCATGGTATTAGATGATTGGCAAATGCTGGTTTGTTTCGTTGCTCTTGGTGTATAATTTTTCTGCAAGACAAAAGAGTTAAGAATACGATTTATAGCGCCAAATACTTCTACAATATGGAAAGTTTGAGAGGCAAAAGTGTAAAACGACAAACAATTCAAAAAATTACACTTAAAGTGCAAAGATATACTATCACGTTTTGCGGCATTATGCTATAAAGCCTTCTGAATCTCTGACATTCCAATTAACTGGTCGCTGCAGGTTTTGCGATATTGGTGTTGATGATAGTGCAGTTGAACTCTAGAACTTAAAATGAAACTAGACAAATTTTACATTACTCGCTCGATCAATTTTGCTTACGGTAAGCAATCTGAATTGATGATGTATATTATTTTTCTAAGATTACCAAATATGAAGACGGTGAAGGACAACGTAAACTAAAAGATTGTTGACATTAGTGTCATTTCCATTTGCAATTTTTTCGAGCTCAAAAATTCTACATTATTTCATTAATATGCTGAAAATAGTTACAGTTATAGGAAGATTTCTATAGAAGTTACAAAGTATTTGGGCCAAAATGTTTTGATTGAGATTGACAGCTAATGCTATCACAGCACCAACATCAATTAAACCGATGACGAATTGCGTATGAATGAATTGTTCGTTGATGTCATTCTAGGTCTTGAGTGTGTTTTATGTTGTCGTAGTAGGTAGTAAGCTTTTGTTTTTATCTAGGTTTTGTTTATCGAAAAAAATCGATTGTAACGCTTGCGTCGTTTTTTTTTGTTTTCCCTCATCGTTATTTCGATTATTTCTTCAGTAGCTCAGCATGAGTGTTTCTTTATTTTCGTTTCCGAGTGTTTTTATTTTTAACAATTTCATCGCATGGAGTTTTTTTAACACGTTCATTTGGTTTTTCGCTATTTTCGTTTGTACGTAGGTTAGTTTTAATCGTTTATAGACTATAAGTTTTCTTATATAATTTTTTGTTCATTGACTTTTGATGCGTAGCGTTTGTATTTGTCGTGTATTTATACGTTTATGCATGAGAAAAGACAGCGGACCAAACACCGCTCCCTGCGGTGCACCCAACTAANAGTGATGATGTTGCGTGATGAAGTGTTGGAATGTTAGGAGATGATGAGGCAATAACGCGATGTCGGGAAATGTATTGTCGTGGAAACTTTTAATATTGACAAAAATGCTGATTTGTTTCACTGCACCTGATGCTTCCAGTAATGGATAATTTTTCTACAAAAAAGGAGTTAAAATACGATTTTAGCATAATAATATCATATTAATTGAGGGACAAAACAGTGACCGACTTTGAAAATGCGTCAAATATAATTAAAAGTTCCAAAGATAGACAATATTTTGCGACATTACGCTATGAAGGATTCTGAATCTCGGACATTCCAATTAACTGGTCGCTGTAGGTTTTGCGATGTTGGTGTTGATGATGGTTGAACTCTAGGTTGGAAATTGTTAAAACATAACTAGACGAAATTTTACATTTCTCGCTCGACATTTCAATTTTGCTTGCAGCAATCTAAATGATGTTGTAAGTTCTTTTTCTACCACTTATGAAGACGGTGAAGGACAACGTAAACTAAAATATTGTTGAAGTTATTGTAAAGTGACAGTTCCTTTTGCATTCTTTTTGAGCTCAAAAATTCTACATTGTTTCGATAATATGCAGAAAATAGTAATTACAGGAAGAGTTTTAGAAGTCAATACAAAGTATTTGGGCCAAAATGTTTTGATTGAGATTGATCACAACACCAACATCAATTAAACCGATGACGAATTGCGTATGAATGGATTGTTCGTTGATGTCATCTAGGTCTTGAATGTGTTTTATGTTGTCGTAGTAGGTAGTAAGCTTTTGTTTTTATCTAGGTTTTGTTTATCGTAAGAAAAATCGATTGTAACGCTTGCGTCGTTTTTTTTTGTTTTCTTTCATCGTTATTTCGATTATTTCTTCAGTAACTCAGCATGAGTGTATCTTTATTTTCGTTTTCGAGTGTTTTATTTTTAACAATTTCATCGCATGGAGTTTTTTTAACACGTTCATTTGGTTTTTCGCTATTTTCGTTTGTACGTAGGTTAGTTTTAATCGTTTATAGACTTTATAAGTTTTCTTTTGTCTTATACAATTTTTTGTTTATTGATTTTTGATGCGTAGCGTTTGTATTTGTCGTGTATTTATACGTTTATGCATGAGAAAAGACAGCGGACCAAACACCGCTCCCTACAGTGCACCCAACTAAAATTGTGTTCATTCGCAGGCGGAAGAAGAAGTGCGTACGATACATGGAAGCCCTGGCAGCAGCGGCGGGGACCGTGCCCCTTCCGATGGCGACGCCCCAGTCGCCTTGTTCTGAAGAGGACGTGAAGCTGGAGGAGATGTCGGACGCTTCAAGCGACGGCGATGCCGACACGCCGCTCAATTCGGCATCGAGTCCGGGCGGGCTGAGCGCACTATCGTCGCTGGCGTCGCCGGCCTCGGAGCCCCCGCCCGCGCCCCCTCGCCACCCCGTAGGAACCAACCCCCGCGACGCCAACAACCCGCTGTCCGTCGGGCAGCTCACCTCTCAATCCTGGCCGCGCGCCGCCCAGTCGCGGCCCGGCCACGAAGTCATATCCGTCTCGTAGTGACGGCGCTGCTACCACGCGACCCTCCGCGTCCCGGCTTTAGCTTGAAAGACTATAAAGATAAACCCGGGCTTTCCCCTGGCCTTGATCCGCTCAAACCCCGCCCGGTACAGACAGAGCGCGCTCTGAGCGGATGATCGCCAACGCGACTAGTGTATTTCGCGCCATCTAGCGAACGCGTCCGGAAGCGAGTCGTGTCGGTTGTGATAGCGGTACCATGCGAACAAGAACTTTCAACGATTCCGTAGTGGACACTACCTCCTTGGCGCGATGTTATTCGGGTGCTACTGCACGCGGATTGAAATACCGGCATTTTTGTGTACTATTAGTTTAGTTTCCCGTTGCTCAAAAACTGGTTTCCATACGATCCTAATGTCGGACTCATCTCTGTAATGGCCTAACATTTCGTTGTTGTTGTATTGGCATCACCAAATGTGCGGTATTTCGGTCGACGTGCGTTTATCATAAGGGAATGTTACATTTGTTTTACAAGCTTACCATGGAATTTAAGTCTAATTTAGCCCCTAATGGGATTCCCTTGGAACGAAGTTTGAAACAGTCGCCTGTCACAATGATCTCAAAATTACGAGTCCAAATCAAGTCATTTAACTTGCATTTTTATGTTATCCGTACTTTTGATATCCAAATTTTATTAAGACATTTTCTTTAACCAATTGTGGGATGATTTTCGTTGTTTTTACACTTGTATTTGATAAACTATACAATTATAGCGCAACTAAAATCGATTGGTATTTTTGCAACAAGTGCCTACATTGTCTTGGTAGAAAAGCTAGGTTATCCTTACAGTGCCATACAAAGTTGTATAGATTGGCCAAATTAACTTGAACCTTAATGTTTGGATATTAAAACTATGGCCCACGGTCCAGTGGAGATAGTCATGACTTTATTCTAGCCATCGATACATAAGAAATTCAGTATTTATTTTTAATTGTGATGGAGTGAATGTTCTTTGTTTCGCCGAATTCTGTTCGGGATGTCCAAAGTTACTAATTTACCGGCATACCGAATAATTTTGGAGTATTATCGACAATTTATTCGGTATACGACATACATACAATTTCGAATTCCAACCGAAATCGGCGAAATTGAAAAAATCAGCACATCACTATTTCTTCTTAGTCCCATTGGTAACTTTTAAATTGTCAAAAATCGTCTTGATCTTGCACAAAAACTGACACACGGTTTCTTTCAAATTAAAAGACACCAACCCTACCATTAATTAGGCAATTAGGCCTCTGTTGCTCTCTCAATACGGACTATAATTCTTGCATTTTATTCACGAGTTCCGTTTTCATATGGCGTCAAAATGGAATATTCTTTTGAGTGTTTTTATGTCATATTAAAATGTAACTGCGCGTCTTATAACGGCCTGCACCATAGGTTCCAGTAGCATTAGTGACGTTTTAGTTCTTAAAATTTTCCCTTCGGACTCGGTTTTGTATAAAGTTAATGTTAAGACGCGCCGAAGGGAAAAATGTATTGTCCGTTGTGCGGAAACCATTTAGACTGTCGTAGGATACTTTAGGCGCGTCAACGAGTGACATCATTATCTACAGATGGTGTACCGATCTGCCCTTTTTATACGTAGTTGTTGTTGTACTGTTGACCCATGGATTTGTTCATAGAAAATTATATGCGTTTAGCGCCATCTATCGGTCGACAAACACATTACTTGTTAAACATGTACTTTCAAATTGCATGAAAATATTTTTCTTTGTTGTTGCGTTTTCTCACAGTTTTGTTGTACAAAATGCTTATTGCGGTTTTTATTCTTCGTAGTTGTTTTATCAGAAGGTCAGTAAAGGGCATTTTGGCACAGCGTCAGCCTTTGTATATGTGTAAGTACATACATAATGTAAATGTATAAAATATAGGCTTAATCTAACTGTGTCATATTAGAGTTTAAGTGTACTATTCTACTTACTATACATTACTATATAAAAAGAAATTTAAAGAAATATTAGTTGAATACTGACTCAAAAACGAAATTATATCAAATGTCTGGTTGATTCTAATTTTTTATTGGTTCGGCAACCCCCAGAGTATAAAGGACTGGAAATTGTATGTAAATAAATTTGTAATTCATGAATAAATATTTAGAAGATTTTGGTATAAAAAATATTGCATTTATATTATTATAAAAGTGACTAGCCCTCGGATAGTTCTCGGATGGTTTGTTTTATTCGACGCGTCTTTTTGTTAATTACTTTTTATTGTTATTATTAAGATTTTTAACGTTGTTGAATGCAATATCGATACCCATGACTTAAATTGAAACAATTGTGTCTGTCGATTCGAGGATTTGATGATTTAACTGCATTTTTATCGCAAAAATAATGTATTGACAAACGCGCACGTAATATCAATGATATCTTTTTACAATGACCAACTTGAATGTTATAAAAACAAATCGGTCGTTCGATTTTGCATGAAATCTTACTTTGTGCAATAATGACTAACTATGGGTACTGTATAGTCTTCTTAATGTACATTAGAAGTTTCTTAAAATTAATTTTTAAGTCTATTTTCGAGAGGAAATTATTGGGTTTAATTTTTTTTGTCTAAATGGAAATTTAGTTTCTTTATTTTATATTTTCTTGACAGTAAAATAGGTGAACCCGTGCCAAAACCATCTAGGAATCTACAGGTAGCCAGGGATTCATGAATTGCCTTCACAAATATAGGAACTCATTTTAAAATATTGTTGCGCAAGTGTTTTTTTTTTTAGTTTTATCAACGAATGAGCTTTTCTGCATGATTCTAACAAAGCATCAATTCTTTTATTTATTTTTTCATGTCGCAAAAGATTCTTCCTCGCTTTGTGAAGTCAGTAAATGATTTAGAGTGGACAGTAAAATAATGATATATTCTGTGCCAAATTTAAATATATTGTGAACTGTGCTGTATTCAATGATATAGCGTACCTCTGACGGTCTTATGTTAATAGATTTTATAGGTTGTTTTTTATTGTTAAGCTGGTAAAGACAGATGGCTCTTCACTAGAGTTATTATTATTTTTTTGTAGAAAAATTGTCAAATTAGAAAAACTCAATTATTAGGTCTGCTCCCGTGTCTTGTGTTCAGTTGAACGAATATTATTTTAATAAACAACTTAAAAATTGTACATGACTGTTTTATTTTTCACTACAATACATGCACCTAACTAAGTGTTATTGTTGAATATTTGTCTTTCTTAACCCACATCATCAAAGGTGTGACATAGTAAAACAAAAGAATTGATTAAAAAAACGTTTATTACTTTTTAAAGTATTAAAGCTTTAGCCAATGTTATAGACAAAATTCTAAAGTACTACACACAGACCAAGCTTCTAATCTGTTCCTAAAACTAGAACAAAATATACATAAACCAAAAGTAAATTAAATGTCAACAATTTTCCACTTGGTGATATGTTTTATTAACGAACTTTATAATTAGTTTATTAAATAATGATCCAGTCTACAATATAGGAGAAAAATAGAGTAATTAACTTTTTTATTTTGTCATAAGGAACTAAATAAAATTATGTCATTTGAGTTAACATTAATTCTAATAAGTATTAACATAAAATTGAAATCGTAAGTGATAATCACATTAATATTATATTAAATAAGTTTAATCTTTGTTTTAATTAGTGAATAATATGCTACCAATTTCTTTGGAGCCTTAATTAGAAAATAACTTAAAACTAAAAATAATTATTATGGCATGAACTAAAAACTAAATTGTTATGGCATAATATTATGAATTTAGTTAACATTATATAGCGTAACTAAAAGCTTGAGGATATAAAGAACACACACAAACTAGTGTTGCTAGTGGAAAAAAGTATTGTTGCCTATCTTTAAAACAACTGTTGCCAAACATAAAAAAGAAACCAAAAAAATGTATAGGTATTAATAATGTCTTTCTCTGAGTCTTTTTTTCCAAATAAGTAGTTGATAAATACACCCGCCAATATTAAAGAATAGATTTTAAAACTAGTTCCACAAGCTCTTTCTGCTGTAGCTACACCAAATCCCAGAATACAGGAGTGCTGAAGCAGCAAAGCCTTTCAAACTGGTTCAATCCGGTTTACCAGGGTTCTGTAATGGAAAAAAAGTTCCTATTTTTTATGACTATCAAAAAAAGCAGAACAAGTAAGAGTCAGAAAGCGAGTTAGTAAATAGTGGTTTAAAGTAACCGATGTTTTGAAAAAAAAAAAAAAAAACGAAACAGAATGGAGGTAGATTGAAGATTAAACAGAGGGTAGACAAATCGACTGGTAATAAACATCTACCCGCATTTACATCAGTTTAACCGTGATCATGTAACTACGCCTAAATATCGGAGTGAGATTAATCAAAGACTACAGTGGAAAGTTCGTAATATACATATACCTATAACAATTTAACCATTATTAACGGTGTAGTGTGTAGTATGTCCTTGGCACTTGACACAGGATCTCAGTTCTTTAACCGAACCGAAATTTCGTGCGGCGCGGGTGGCTATTTTAACCCAACTGCTTACTGCGGCAGAAGGGTTGTGTTTTTTAGACATTATACTAGTGTCTCGTTTTCGTTTTTGTGGAATGTATTATTAAGTATATCTGTTACGGNTTTTACAATGACCAACTTAAATGTTATAAAAACGAATCGGTCGTTCGATTTTGCATGAAATCTTACTTTGTGCAATAATGACTAACTATGGGTACTGTATAGTCTTCTTAATGTACATTAGAAGTTTCTTAAAATTAATTTTTAAGTCTATTTTCGAGAGGAAATTATTGGGTTTAATTTTTTTTTGTCTAAATGGAAATTTAGTTTCTTTATTTTATATTTTCTTGACAGTAAAATAGGTGAACCCGTGCCAAAACCATCTAGGAATCTACAGGTAGCCAGGGATTCATGAATTGCCTTCACAAATATAGGAACTCATTTTAAAATATTGTTGCGCAAGTGTTTTTTTTTAGTTTTATCAACGAATGAGCTTTTCTGCATGATTCTAACAAAGCATCAATTCTTTTATTTATTTTTTCATGTCGCAAAAGATTCTTCCTCGCTTTGTGAAGTCAGTAAATGATTTAGAGTGGACAGTAAAATAATGATATATTCTGTGCCAAATTTAAATATATGGTGAACTGTGCTGTATTCAATGATATAGCGTACCTCTGACGGTCTTATGTTAATAGATTTTATAGGTTGTTTTTTATTGTTAAGCTGGTAAAGACAGATGGCTCTTCACTAGAGTTATTATTATTTTTTTGTAGAAAAATTGTCAAATTAGAAAAACTCAATTATTAGGTCTGCTCCCGTGTCTTGTGTTCAGTTGAACGAATATTATTTTAATAAACAACTTAAAAATTGTACATGACTGTTTTATTTTTCACTAAAATAATGTTTGACATACACACCTAACTAAATGTGTCATTGTTGAATATTTGTCTTTCTTAACTCATATCATCAAAGGTGTGACATAGTAAAACAAAAGAATTGATTAAAAAAACCTTTATTACTTTTAGTAAATATTAAAGCTTTAGGCAATGCTAAAGACATAATTCTAAAGCACTACACACAGACCAAGCTTCTAATCTGTTCCTAAAACTAGAACAAAATATAATGTTACGGTCAATGTGGTAAATTGAAAATCAATCAATCAATCATTAATAATAATCGGTTATTATGAATAATTACTGACATTCGCGGTAAAAGTGATAAATTAATGACATTTAACAGTGATTATTTAATAATTCAACCTTGGTACTAACAAATATGCTCGTGTACAGCCAAACTTTTTGAACGTTTTGATATCATAAGTATATTAATATAATTTGGCATAATGAGTGGAATGTTTCTTGCATAATATTACTTTTCCATGATGCCCATATCAATGTTTTGATTTAAAGTGAAAAATAGGTTCAGGTGCGGCGGGGGTGGCCCTTGGGCCACCCCTAAGCCGCCTATTTAGTTTTATACACACTTAAATGATCTCATATTAATCACATTTACCAAATCATGAGGTAATTATTCATAATAACCGGCGATTATTCATAATTTTTACATTTATCACATTTACCGTAACATATACACAAACCAAGAGTAAATTAAATGTCAACAATTTTCCACTTGGTGATATGTTTTATTAACGAACTTTATAATTAGTTTATTAAATAATGATCCAGTCTACAATATAGGAGAAAAATAGAGTTATTAACTTTTTTATTTTGTCATAAGAAACTAAACAAAATTATGTCATTTGAGTTAACATAATTCTAATAAGTTTTAACCTAAAATTGGAATCGTAAGTGATAATCACATTAATATTAAATAAGTTTTAATAATCTTTGTCTTAGCTAATAATATGCTACCAATTTCTTTGGAGCGTTAATTAGAAAAAAACTTAAAACTAAAAATAATTACTAATTATTATGGCATTAACTAAAAACTAAATTAATATGGCATATGAATTTAGTTACATAGTATAGCGTAACTAAAAGCTTGGGGATATAAAGAAAACACAAAAGTTTAATAGCTTCTGCTAGAAACTAGTGTTGCTAGTGGAAAAAAAGTATTGTTGACTATCTTTAAAACAACCATAAAAAACAAACCAAAAACTCTCTGACTTTTTTTTTCCAAATAAGTAGGCGATAAATACACCCGCCATTATTAAAGAATAGATTTGAAACACGTTCCACAACAAGCTGTTTCTGCTGTAGCGACACCGAATCCCAGAATACAGGAGTGCTGAAGTAGCAAAGCCTCTCAAACTGATTCAATCCGGTTTACCAGGGTTCTGTAATGGAAAAAAGTATAACTATTTAATTTTAAATATATTTTTTTTGTTTTAATTATTTTTTCACGAGTGTCAAAAAAACTGGTACCAATGAGTGATAAAGGCAGTAGGCTGATATAAAATTAGAAAGTGGGTAGATTTGATTCATTTTACTTCAGTTCATCCGTGATCCCGGCGCAAGCAACTGCGCTGAATTATCGGAGTGATATATGTATTATGGATTACATACAGAAACAGTGGAAATTCTGTGATTAATTACAATCATAATTGGCAGTGCAGTGTGCAATAAGCGAACCCAATTTTTTGACCGAACGCTCAAGTTCCGTGCGTGTGGCTATTTTACCCGACTGTAGGAAGGAGGGTTAAGTTTTTTCGAGTGTATTATTGTGTCATGTTAGTGTAGAATGTGATAATAAGTATACTAACGGCTGACAGAGAAGGTAGAGCTCTGCATATCGTGCTGTCCCGAGTCGCGTCTCCTACGACGCGTCGGAGTGTTGCGGCCCGATCCGGCGATTTCTTCCAGTTGCATGTTCTCTNTTTTAAACGTTATTAATTTATCACTTTTACCGCGACTGTTGGGAATTATTCATAATAACCGGTTATTATTAATAATTTTCAATTTATCACATTAACCGTAACATATCTTTAAAGTATACTAACGGCTGACAGAGAAGGTGGAACTCTGCATATCGTGCTGTCCAGAATCGCGCCTCCTACGACGCGTCGGAGTGTCGCGGCCCGATCCGGCGATCTCTTCCAGTTGCATGTTCTCTATAGAGAACTCTGAGAAGGTAAGTGATTTATTTTTATTTTAGACCTGTATTTATTACTGTTATCATCGTCATGGAATTTAATCTCAACTTCAGGAGTTTGCTACTACTAACTACACAGGGTTAATACTGGGACGTGTAAAAGTGATTTTTAAAAGCCTATTTGCTAAATAAATGAGTTTTTACTTCCTACGCTGGCTGGGCGGTTTGGGGAGGCCTTTTATAGGTCTATGAAGACTTATAGTAAATAAATAATTTATTTGTATTTTATTTTAATGAAGCCAGGTTCAGTAACTGACGTTAAATTAAATCTATTTCTCAGCTATTTTTTTTGCTACGAAATAGGTACTTAGGAAGAAATGTTTCGCAATAAATGTGATAGAGTTATATTAATACTTACCACCGTGTGGGCTCTTAGCGTGGGTGTAAGACCTGGGTTCCAGCTCGTCCATCTCTCCTGCAACGTAAAATGTATGTCAGACAAACGTCTAGTGTCTAATTTGAACAATAGTACCCAAACTGTACTAGGAATCTTATACTGAGATAAACGGCACCTAAAATCTTTGAATATTGAAATGAAATTACACAGTCACCTATTGTTAGAAAGTATTTTAGTTGTTAAACTATGGTTATAAATAAAGCTAGCAGCGACCTAAGCCCTAGTCCCTAGCATATTTAGGAAAGCTAACTGCTAGTCTATTCCACAGCATTGCTTAGTGCAGAAGCCGCTAAATATAATAAGTGTAAAGATTAGGATAATATTTAGTACCTAACAATAGACAATGAAAAGCATCATTGCAAATCAAGACATAAAAAAATCTTGATAGTCCCAAGAAGTCCCAAGTCCACCCACAAGGTGGACCGACGACATCACAAAGGTAGCAGGAAGGCGCTGGACGCAAGCCGCTACCAACCGGGCAACATGGAAAGCATTGGGGGAGACCTATGTTCAGCAGTGGAAGTCCTATGACCGAGATGAAGTCCCAAAAATATCATTAACTAAAAATTCGGAGGTCTAATTAAGCAATATTTGGAAAATACTTACTGCTCAGAGAAAAAGTGGAGACCTGCATATCCCTTTGGGTAAACTCGCGGTGTTTCAGTCCAGTTGGAGAGTGGACTGTAGATGGTATTGATTCCAGCTGTTGATTTGTAGATGCCGTGGAATCTTGCTGTTGCATTTCAGGGGTTAGGTCTGGTGAAGAGATTTGGTAATACACCCACCAGTCTAATAAAATAGACTGGGTAAATACTAGTCTAATTTATTTCAATTGTAGATATAATAAAAACTGAAATTAAAAACAAAGTTACACGTGACAATAGTACCTACTATAGTGCATTCGAGGTATGTAGATATTGAGAAAGCTCTTATATTACGCGAAATTTTCAAACAAATTTCTTTTCTGCTCAACCCAAAGGTAAACTGGTCGAGAATGCTTTAGTGCATTAAGTTCGCCTTATGTACAAATTTATTTTGGCATTAAAGTTTAAATAAATAAAATTTTAGCCAATTTTGCATAGAAACTATTACATATATTGATGTGCCGTGTACAGTGGTAGATAACTAAATACTAATTTCGAATTTACTAATGTACCTACTTACAGTTTGATTCAAAATTACTTTCTTCGTGTCTCATATATCACAAAAAAATCGAAAAATAATATAAGAAAATAGTTATCAGTACATAAGTACATTATCTTGTTCTTTTCATTTATTGAATTAGTGGGGAAAAATTGCAACTTGTGAGCTTTTTCAAACGACATCGTCTTCATTGACTTGATTAAAATCTAGCTTAGATGGTAATAAGCTTTAGGCTAACTTAAAATGTTAGTTTAATGTCTTTGAATACAATCCATATAGGATTCTATTTCTATTGTCTTTAGGTTCACATTCTTCTTGTGTTCTTTTCACTGATACAATCTCTCACTTTATTTATATCACTAACTTCAATCTTCTCACAAAATGTTTTATCCACAACGAGGAAGCTCTTGGCCTGCATCTCACCTGATGGTAAGTGATGATCAGGCCGAAGGTAGACTAGAAACGAACTTCATCTTCTTTTCAATAACTTAATGATTAATAGGAGTAGAATACAGAATATTGAAAAGTCGGTACCCTACCAAGGATATTTTTTTATACTGTAGCGATATGTAGTACATAGCTAATATGGTTTAAGTATGATAGGCAATTGTTAGATTAGTTAATTCATGATGGTAGTGTGTCATAAGTGTTATAAATTAAAATTGATCTCTTAATGTCCTAAACCATTTTATTTACTATGCATCTTTAAACAGAACGAAATTAATTATTTATTAATAAATAAGTGCCACCAGTGGTCTAAATTGAATGAAATATTTTTGATTTTGATTTTATTCACCTGGGCTGAAATGTCCTTGGTAAATCGTAATGCTGGTGATGGTGAGTAGAGGTGAGGTGTATTTATTGTCAATGTCAGGTATTTCGTTAAGTGTTAGTGTATGTAGAAGGAATAGTGACCAATGACGCTTCCCTATGGCACTCCAGGTTTTATTTCTGTTATTTCCAAATATGAAACTTCTTGACTTAAGTTCAAAATTATGTTGTTTGTATAACTCGGAAGTGACAAGCAAATTACCTAAGTTCAATGTTAAATTGAAATAATAGATAAGTTCCATTTGTTAGACTATCAAAAGCGAGTGCTATGTACGACATCTGTAAATTTACATGAGTTTTTTAGCTGATAAATGGTTTCAGCTGTTAAAGGCAGCTTAAAGTGAGTACTGCGTTTGTTATTTGACATTTCAAAGGCATGAGTAAAGTCGGTGTATGTGTGATTTAATATTGATGAAGTAGATAAAAGTGTTTCCAAGGGCAATGGACACTGGGGTTCAATAACGGACTTATAAATATTTTTCGGGATAATAAAACAAATAGATAGATTACATTGTTTATTTGTGACAATGCATAATAGATAATACATTTAGAAAAAAATGTAAAATGCTATAAAACAGTGATGCTAATGCAAGACTAGTTGTATCCAAGGAAGAGTAAAACGACTCGATTCGAAATATTTGTACTGTGGTCCTAACGCCTAAGGAGTTCAAATTCAAAGCTACAAATAAAATTGACTAAAATAATTATCATAGATTTCTAACTTTTTCTGAATTACCAATTAGTGACGGGGATTAAGATTTTTTCAGGTCTGCCCCTTAGAATAGTCCCAAAAGTCCGAAATTATGTTTGAATTACTAAAAACAAATCGGCATAAAAATATTACTAGTTTCATTTTCGTCACAATTTAAATTACAGTACAATAAGGAAGTAATTTGGCTTCAAGTGCTTATAATAAAAACAATGAACATAACTTACATCTAAAATGGTGGAAATACGCCGTCATTTGATAATCCAACATCGAATAGTTACACGATATTAATATTACTAAGACACTGGTAGGTGGTGGGTACTTCAAAAACCGGATTTTTAGCGATAAAATTACCGGTTTTTGACACAAATGGAAAAGTTTGGATACACAAACAACGGCCATTGACAAATCATCCTGAACACATACATTGTTGTTTCTACACATCCATACACTTAACATTCAAACAAAAAATCAATTAAATGCGTTACACAAAAATTTTGACACTTAGGTTTGAAGTTTTTCCAGAAAACTATGGAAGTTAAATGTTATAAATTACTAATAATTTAGTAGATTATTATCCTGGCATGCAACCATATACCTACGGCTAAAAATCAGTATTTTGTTAATTGGTCAGATTAAAAATACCTAAAAACTTAATAAGACTGGCCCTAAAAGAACCCGGTAATTATTATAATCAACATAAAACATTTATAATCAAAATGTAGTATAACATAATATACTATTTTGTTATTATACCAATAATAAGTAACGTAAACATTATAATATAATAGTAAATACATTGTAATATAATAATATATTTTGATTATGGTCTTGGTGTTACACATGCTTGACTCTTTTCATGCAAGATCAAAACTTTTTACTCTATTGATGAATATTATATTAAGTCCAATTAGCCATCTAGGAGATATTTAATTGATTTTTACTGATATATTCAGCTAACCTTTATTTTGGCAAATAATGCCTGTTTTCACCATCAATCCCTAATTTTTAAGTGACCCCTATGTATACAAAATTCCTGTTATGTGTAGGGATCATTTAAAAATTAAGGATTGATGATGAAAACGGGCATAAGCCAAGCATTATGTCACGACTATCACTGGGGTCTAATTCAGTCTATACCAAAAACAGAATAAATACTGTGTAATTATCAGTTATTATGTCATGAACTATAGTTAAACAGTCTAACGTAACTAAGCTTTGGGTACAAACGAATATACTAAAATTGGTTCAGCTGCCCTAAGCTCGTGAATTGTTGCTTGTGGAAAAAATGAATGTTGCCAGTCGTAAAAAAATTGATTGCCCTATTAAAAATATCACTTTCCATTCAAGATCTTTTTCAGAAAACACGTCTTTTCTTTAGTCATTTCACAAATTCTCGTCATCAATTCCAAAAAAACACGTCACATTTTAGTCAATAATTTTATGGCGCAAGTACACTATGCGGGAAATTGATCGAGACTAGTGTAAACTCGCACTTCGGTTAGTTTCGCCATGCGTCGTCCATACTTTGATGAGCGGGCTCGCGGTTCTTCTAGGTCAATTTCCTGCATAGTGTACTTGCGCCATTAGGTACAAAGTACACTCACGTCCCAAATGTTGCCAAAGATGAATAAATTCATCAAAATAAATTAACTATCAAATCCGATACGAAAACTACAAACGAATTGTGCCTATACATACATAGTTTCCACAAGCAGATTCTGCCAACGCGATGCAAGCTTGCCCGCTGTCTGGTTAGAAGCGGATTACCAGAGTCCGGAAGACTTACCGCCTGGCGGGTTCCGTACGCGGACCGAAGTCTTGGTGTCAAGGCCCTCTACCTCTTCTGAAAAGCAAAAGTTGAAGCTGAAAAGCCTTGTTTTGGTAGCATTTAAAGTAACGTAGCGAGCAAAATAAAATGTGAGACAAAATTAGAATAATACGCGGTGGACTTTTAGCTAGCCTGTCACTAGTAGGTATTCCTATTTTCTTATTAAAAGGGTTTGTTTAATTCTCTCCTGATTGGATTGATTAAAAAGGTCTCGGTCCAAAGTTGTCCGTCCTACCAGAGTAAATACAAATGAGTAGGTCATCTTCATAGAAACGCACCGAGCGCGGTTTGTATGTGCTGCAACACCCCGCTTATCCATCCACGCTAAATTTTGTCAGTGTGTGCGTGCGCGTGACCTACTCATTTGTATTTATTCTGGTCATACTTTAAGGAGAGTCACGGTTCTCGACTTAGTTCTAGAATAAAAAAGGCCAAACATAGAGGTCTTTCCTATGACTGTAGATATTCGATTTTCTGATCGAGGGTTGTTAACATCGAACAGTTAGATTGGCAACTTACCTTGCAGCCACCACTCCATTGAGCCCGCGGAGTAGGGCTCGATCCACCCTACATTTGGGAAGATGAGACCTTTACCCTATCAATGGGCTTACTTAGCTTTTCTCCAAAGGTTCCAAGGTTCTATTACTGGATGATGATAGATGTCCAGGTCACCTTACTTCAGCTATACTAATACTTTCCTAGTCTCCAGTTTGAGAGTACCGTAATTGGATGCCAGCAAGGCGAAAGGGTATGCCAGCAAACTGGCTAGAGGTCAACAAGTGTGGAGGCTGGTTTGCAGAAATATGAGCAGGTCTACTTAATGCTGTTAGAAAAGGTGCTCTGCAGCTCTGCTACAGCTGCTGTTAAGCGCGAGAGAGTGAGACACAGGCATGCTGCAAGGGTATCTGGTCTACTCACTGCTGATGAAGAAGTTTCTCTGCAGCTCTGCTACTGTTGCTGATTGGTGCGAGATAGTGGGACAGGCTGCTGCAAGGGTATCTGGTTGTCTACTCACTACTGATGGAGAAGGTGGAGCTCTACAGCCCTACTGCTGCTGCTGATTGGTGCGAGAGAGTGAGACAGGCTGCTAGCATCACTACTGCTGCTGATTAGCGCGACACAGGCCATGCTGCAAGGTTATCTGGTCTACTCACTGCTGATGGAGAAAGTGGAGCTCTGTAGCTTAAGCAACTGCTGCTGATTGGTGCGAGAGTGAGACAGGCTCCAGCTGCTAGCATCACTACTGCTGCTGATTGGCGCGATACAGGCCATACTGCAGGTGTATCTGGTGGTCTACTCATGAAGATGCTGCTACTCTGCTGATGGAGAAGGTGCTCTGCAGTTCTGCTACTCGTGCTAGCATCACTACAGCAGTAGCAGCTCTGTTTGCCAGGAGAGAGTGAGACACAGGTCATGCTGCAAGGGTATCTGGTCTACTCACTGCTGATGGAGAAGGTGGAGCTCTGCAGCCCTACTGCTGCTGCTAATTGGTGCGAGAGAGTGAGACAGGCTACTGCTGCTAGGCCTGCTAGCATCACTATAACAGTAATAGCTCTGTTTGCCACGAGAGGGTGAGATACAGGTCAAGCTGCAAGGGTATCTAAAAGGTATCTATCTGGTGGTCTACTCACTGCTGATGGAGAAGGTGGAGCTCTGCAGGTCGCGCTGGCCGAGCTCGCGCATCTTGCGGCCGGTGGGCGTGCTGCAGCCCGATGACACAGACATGGCTTCCAGCTGCTTGTTTACCAGCGTCAGCTCTGGAAGAGATTAAAGTCAATTATTTTTCATTCGTTCGTTTCAGCCAAATGACGTCCACTGCTGGACAAAGGCCTCATCCAAGGCTTTCCATAGTTATTTTTAGCAACAGTTTTAGTGAAATGGCCTCAATAAACAGTGGGGAGTGTAGGCCAAATCCTTTCGTTCGTTTCAGCCAAATGACGTCCACTGCTGGACAAAGGCCTCCCCCAAGGATTTCCACAAAGACCGGTCCTGCGCTGCCCGCATCCAGGCACCTCCCGCGACCTTCACCACATTGTCGATCCACTTAATCGTGGGCGAGAACTGCCCCAAAGACCATCAGCTTTGCGAGCTATGTGCCCCACCCACTGCCACTTGATTTTCAACCGACTTAAAAAAAAGGAGGAGGTTCTCAATTCGACCTGTATGTTTTTTTTTTCTATGTTTGTTACGCGATAACTCCGTCAATTATGAACCGATTTGAACAAATCTTTTATCGGCGTATAGGTAATACCTCAAGGGTGGTCCCATTTAAATTTAATAATAAAAAAACAACCCCCAAGGGTGGAAAATTGGGGATGAACTTTTTTATACGCAATATCTCCGCCGATTATAAACCAATTTGAACGATAAATTTTTTTTGTTGAATAGGTATTATCAAAAGCGTGGTTTCATGCGAATTTGAAGAAAATATTTCACCCCCAAGGGTGGAAAATTGGGGATGAACTTTTTTATACGCAATATCTCCGCCGATTATGAACCAATTTGAACGATTATTTTTTTGTTGAATAGGTATTATCAAATTTTTTTAATTTTTAGTTTTTTTTTGTGTTCACGCATTTGAAGTCGGTTATATTTAAAAAAAAAAAAAGTTAATTATAGCAATGCAGGCTATATCGGTCACTTTGGTTCTCCTGCGGATTTCCTCATTTCTGATTTGATCACGCAGGGAAACTCCTAGCATAGCACGCTCTATTGCCCTTTGAGTGACCTTGAGCCTTTTTATGAGGCCCATAGTAAGCGACACTGACCTCTATACATACTGAACTGGCTGCTGTCATAACATTTTTGTGCCTATTTGATTTTCGCCATTTTGGCGCTGTAGGCAGATACGAGAGTCCATGGAACTAAAATTAGTGATTTTCTATCCAGCTTACTCTTATGGTTACTCCATATATTGTACGTCAAAATTAGTTCTCGGAACACTCGTAGTGGCGCTTCAAATTGGCACACGCAATTAGCTGTAATTTGTATGAAACAGCCTGTCTAGTGTGTATAGAGGTCAGTGGTAGGCAACCACGTTTCAGATTACCATCCCTGGTTCTTATGATCGCTCGGAACAAATAGGGTGATTCCATACTTTTGCTTTATTTATCATCTATTTACAAAACAAATAGTGGGGGACAACGGAACTTTTTTGGTTTCGATGTCCACCACTGAGGGACAGAGCAACTCATTTCTTCTCAGTGTCCACCAGTAGGGCCCAACGTGAAGATTTCAGTAGCGCTGTCCCCCACTGGTGGACATTGCAACTTTTTTTCTCGATGTCCACCAGTGGTGGACAAATAGTGGGGGACATCGGGAATAAACGATGTAGTTTAGTACTGACCGTGGTGGGTAGGCGTGGAGTTCCCGTTGGTCCCGTTAGCCGCCTCCTGCTGCGGGGAAGCGGGCGCCGAGCGGAGGGAGCCGGCGCCGTAGATGTAGGGGCTGTTGACGGGCGTCTTGAGGAAGCGCCCGGACCCTGCAAGGGAGTTGATGTTCAAATAATCTGTACTAATATCCTACCAATATATATTTTTTTTAATGGCAATTAAACCTCTCTGGGAGGTTTATTTCTGCCAATGTCGAGTGAAAATTGACATAGTTATCAATAGAACGTGGGTGTTTCAGTTCTATTGATTTTTCATGGATTCCGTGGAGTTAAGTATGCCCGTAAGCAGGTTTCAAGACGCCACCGGGTCCATAGCGGGTTGTTCATACGACAACCCACTCGACACTCGATGCGCGCTCAAATACGAAGTATTTCAATGTTTTTTTATAATTTATCACTTCACTGCACTTTAGAACACAAAATAACACCAAATTTGTACACTAAAGTCCATTAAATAATAAATTAAAACCATTAAAACAGATCGACCATGCTTCCCGTTCAACTACCCTCCACGGAATCTCTACCAATATTATAAATGCGAAAGTTTGTGTGGATGTCAGGATGTTTGTTACTCTTGCACGCAAAAAATACTGAACGGATTTTGATGAAACTTTACAGTATTATTTTTTATAACCCAGAATAACATATAGTGACAAACTAAATTTCACGCGGGTGAAGCCGCGGACAAAAGGTACACTATAATAGGCTAGATGACAATATTTCAATTATTTGTCCGTCAGACAGATAATTAGAAAATATTTCTCATATTTTTTATTTTCTTTCATAATTAAATAATAAAAGTGCTACATCGAGTTGAAATGGCGCGATACGTCACGCTTGAGTAGAATTTTTACTCAATAGTGACGTCACGCGACGTTTCAACTCATTATAATACTGTAATTATTCGATTATAAAAAAAATATTTATTTATTTATTATTAATGCATACACAACAGGTAACAATCAAAGGATACAACGGTAGTTACAAATAATTGCAATTATTACAAAATAAATGCTTATAAATCTAGATTGCAACCTAAAAACGTGTACACACAGCATGCAATAACAATCACGTAAACATTGTGTAGAGGTAAAAGTAACACAAAAGTAAGCTGCGCCTATGAATTACCCATAAAGACAAGTAATGCACAGGCGCAACCCGTTAAAAAATCGGGTCGTCAAAAATTAAAAAATCGGGTCAAATATTTTAATTATCTGTCTGACGGACTAAATATAATTACGATTTCATTACCCAGTCATCACCAGTAATAAAAACCTTATTTATTCAAAAGGTAATTTTGAATCTCAAATTCTAATTAACTCTTTCAATGCGAATTCAGCAATGTACTGTAAAATTAGTGTCCCTTTTTGGATAGAAAAGTGTTTTACAGTTTGTGTGTGAGGATGGATTCTTAATGAGACAACATCCGATTAGCAATAGATTAAATATAAATACTAATAAAAAGTTACACAGTTGTTGAACACTGTTTTAAAATGACATTTCCATACTAAACGTCACTTTAAAACACTGTTCAACGAGCGTGTAAGTTTTATTAGTAGGGGGGTAAGATTTTATGGTACAAGGGCGAAGTAATAGTCAAAAAATCACATAAAAACTTTGCTTTGGCATGAAGCGTGCCCTGTAGCTGTGTAGCCCGCGCTCGGCTCAACTGTTATCTCATACAACCATCATTGTACTACGTAAGTATGTCATAACTTACCCTCAGCTACTCGGAGGTCCCCGTCATCGAGGCACACTCGCCCGTTGACGATCACGTACTGAGGGCTGCCCACCACGTGTTGACCCTGTAAAAGACATACAGGGATATTTTGGATTAAAGACGTCATATTATAGTCAATGGAAATATCAAGACCAGTAATTTTGTCGTCGAAATATAAACGAGTCCCCACATTATAATTTATTTTCTGCATTTTAGAGTTGAACAACGGCTGAATGGGTTTCTGGCGAGTAATTAGATCGCGAAGCGAGTATCGCTCATCGCTGAGCGAGTGAATATATCCGCGTCGCTGGTGGCGGCCACACGGCCCTTCGCCGGCCACAGGTTGCACATCGCGACTGCGAGAGCTACTCACTGCTACTATGGCTACCCATAGATGAGTGAGCGAGTAACTTGCAACAGTTTAATTGCTCGAGAAACGTCACGCATGTCAAGACCAGTAATTTTGTCGCTGGGCTATTAAAACGAGTGAGCGAGTGCAACGGGCGAGTAGAATGAAGGCTGTATAGTCTCTTGGCGAGTGTTGAGATCGCCAAGCGAGTATCGCTCATCGCTGAGCGAGTATAATATTTGACGCCTCTTATCACTGTTAAGCCTTGATCACACGTAGGTACCTACCGAGTAAACGGGCGAGACAGTAAAATGTTTACTCGGTCGAGACAGTGATGTAAGCGAGTGCTGTTCACACGTGTTTTGAAATTAGCACAGTCAGTTCAGTTATATTGAGACTTTTCTATTTCTCTAAACTGTGGACGTGACGTCAATCATTTGGCCGAGTGGCGAGACAGTGCACGTTCAGACCTGCCGAGCGAGCGAGACAGTGCGGGGCAGCGGGAGCGTGGATACTCGGCGAGTAGTCGAGCTACTGTCTCGTCGCTTTGCTCGGCCGAGTCGGCCGATCACTCGGCGCTATGTTCATACGCACCGAGTACTTGGCCGAGAGCACTGTCTCGCCCGATTACTCGGTACGTGTGATCAAGGCTTTAGTATGAATGCTAACTCGGGTAAAGATCGCTAGAAGTGTCTAGATACGCGTAGCGTAAGCCCAGTCGTTGGATGAGGCCATTGTCTTGCAGCAGCTGTCTAAACCTTTCTCGGTCACACTCATCAGCAGGCTAAATTAGTCCTTACCTCGAAGATGTTAAAGTCCACGGCGTGCCGGTGCACTAGGGTCTAGCTCTAGTCCTTTCACGCTCACAGTCATTGCCAGGTTCAAGCCAAAAGGGTCCTTACCTCGAAGATATTAAAGTCCACGGCATGCCGGTGCGCGGCAGCAGAGATGGTGCGCTCGAGGCGCGGGTCCCACACCACGATATCCGCGTCGCTGTTGGCGGCCACGCGGCCCTTCGCCGGCCAGAGGTTGAAGATTTTGGCTGCGAGAGCTGGTTATATGGCTACTGCTGTCCCATAGATGATTGAGCGAGTAACTAACAACAGTTTTGTTGGTCGAGAAACGTCACGCATGTCAAGACCAGTTATTTTGTCGCTGGACTATTAAAGCGAGTGAGCGAGTGCGACGGACGAGTAGAATGAAGGCTGTATAGTCTCTTGGCGCGTGTTGAGATTCAAGAGACTTCTTGGCGAGTATATTAAATCGCCAAGTGAGCATCGCTCATCGCTGAGCGAGTATGTTGATGACCCTTGTCGTTGCTAGTATGAACGCTAGCTCGAGTGAAGGTCACTAGAAGTGTCTAGATACGCGCAGCGTAGAACCAGTCGTTTTAGATATCTTTAGAAGTGACCCTTGTTCTGCAGCAGCTGTCTATAGTTAGGAAAGTTACTTGGAGGAAGTCTTCATCAGTCCAAGGACTAATGCTAGTGTCTTGCTCTATTCCTTTCTCGCTCACAGTCGTCAGTATCAAGCCAAAATAGTCCTTACCTCGAAGATATTAAAATCCATGGCATGCCTGTGCGTGACAGCGGAGAAAATCCCAATCAAGGAGGACCAAGTCTCTAGTGTCTAGCTCCTCCTTCGCCGTGCTAAATTGGTCCTTACCTCGAAGATATTAAAGTCCACGGCATGCCGGTGAGCGGCAGCAGAGATGGTGCGCTCAAGCCGCGGGTCCCACACCACGATATCCGCGTCACTGTTGGCGGCCACGCGGCCCTTCGCCGGCCATAGGTTGAATATCTTGGCTGCGTTGGAGCTGGTGACGGCTACGAAGCGGCACGGGTCCATAATTCCTGGAGATTGAGAATTATTTGATGATTTTCCGTAGAGCGAACAAAGTAACTATATTTCAGAATTTCCAAGGGCAGGGCATATAGCTCGTAGAACTGATGTGTGATGAAGTGTTATTATAGTGGATTTACCACAATAACCTAGCGGCCGACGGGTAACGAAGTAGCGTTCTTCGAATCTTGAAACAACACCGATGGGCTATTTTCGGTTCAATTGATAAACCCAGGACAATGTAAAGCTATTAAACGTGCTTCTTAAAGTAACTATTACCAACTTTACTTCGAAAAAGTTTCCGTGACGGGGATCAACACTATCTGTCGTCACCCGCATACATATTTTTTTATAGGTACTGAAGTACTGAGCTGACTTTCAATATGCCACTGTGTTCGGTAGTAGGCTGTAGTAAAGTAAATATCAATTCTCAAAAAACCGTATTGAACAAAAAGTGGTAATTATGGAATTTGAGACTGATAACTTAGACTGGGTTGCACCATCTCACTTTGACTTTAAAAAACGTTAAAAATCTGTCAAACTCCTTACAAAAAACACCGGTTATCGTTATAGTTACAGTACAGTCAAAGTTAGGTGTTGCAACTCAGCCTTAATGATCTATTGTAAATGATGAGGGACCTTACCAGTGTTAACAGCCTTCTGCCACAAGATGGCCATGCGGTCCTCAACCCCGTTGACTCCATTGGGAATCTTCGAGAAGTTGTTCTTGCCGATCTCCTTGTCTTTCTCATGGAAGGTACAGTTGTCACTGCCGATCAACTGCAGGCGGTCACTGGAAGTAAAGTTCGGTGCTCGGTGGTGACATGATATCATTATTTTAGCCGCAAGACGTCCATAGGCCTTCCTCACAGATCACAGAAACTAAAGGGAGATGTGAAAAGGGGGCGGGGCCGGTGTCGCAGCAATATGCCCAAAAACAGAACACATTGCTCGTGTCAGCAATGATGACAGCAGCGACGTCATAATGTAAACAGTTTAGATTGCTTGCGTAGTACTAAAGATTATTCGAACTTTGAGTACTGATACCGCAGTGGATAATGAGCAAGCACATAACATCTGCTAGTGCCTTCATCCTTAATACAAACAACTAAGGTTCAAATTGCATTACTTACTTACAACATGAGCTGGGGGTGGAGTAGTAGTTCTAGATCTTACGACAGGTCAATCGAGTAAGGCCCAGTACTAACTTCAACCTTAACACAAGTATACAGGGTTCAAAATGCAACTCACTCGGCCAACGCCTCGCACATGGCCTGGGGGGTAGAAGGATCCGGCCGCAGCGGCGGAGAAAGAACGTGCGCGGCCGCGTGACGGAAGCACGAGTTGCGGTAGTGGGTACCTGAGGAAAGTGATATGTTATAGGTAACTACCCTCATAAATAAAAGAAGATTTGTTTTGCAAATACTGTCAGATTTCTCATTAATAGTCGATTTTGGTCACTTTAAGGACGGTTTGAACTCGACTAATGGTCGGCTTTTGCTTATCAACATAATGTGTTTTTAAACAGAGGTTTACACTTTCAAAAAATAAATTTTGTAATTATTTTGGCCCAATTTAGCAAATAAAATCAATTCGTAACAAAAGAAATGGGGCACTTCCACCAAGCGTCGTTATTTCCACACCAACTCTCCGCTCAGCTTCTTATTCAAGATCCATCTTCTCTCTTCGCCGCTTTAATGGAAACGGGCTTAGTGAGTCCTCATAATAAGCCGTTATTTCAACACCCTATACAAGTGTGGTTTTGTAAAACAACGCTCATCTCAGGGGTAGTACACATGAAAGTAATTACAAGAAAAATATGAATAAAATTTTAACTACCACTTTATTAGTAAAAAACCTTGTTCGTCTCCTAAAACTTTCGAGACGGCGTTTGTTACCGCCCGCATCAGCCCCGCGTAACCCGATACACCACTGAGCACATGCGGACTGATCGATAGCTCGCCCGCGTAATAATACCATTTTTCTGATTTCATGGATTTTTCCAAGGTTTTTTTTTAAATTTTTTTATATTCTTTTTCTGCATCAGTGTCGTGTATACTCCCACTCCTGAGATAGGCGTTGTTTTACAAAACCACACCCTGTATATCTCACCATCAGTCCCAACGGTAGCAGCCAGAGTTTCTCCATAAACAGGCGGCTTCTGACGCGCGCGCGCATTCTCCAAGGCTTGCACAGCGCTCTTGGACATCATGTGGACTATGTACAGCGGGGAGTTCGCCTGGAATAGAAGATAAGCTTTAGAAATAAGAACGGCACTAGGGAGAAACATTAGGATTCTAATCAACAGGTTAATTATTAGTTATTGGCATTTAAAGTAGCCAAAAAGTTCGTAACCCGTCTTGGAATAAGGTTGCGTTGTCAATTTCTTGGTCACTTTGGGTGCCACGAAGTATTTGACGCTGAATGTACAAGAGTCCAGGTCAGATTGGAAACAGGATTTCACCTCCTCGTCCCGGGACAGCTGGTGGCCGTGAGCTCTTATGCTGCATTGATTTTGTTAGCGATGATGCAAGTCTCTGGAGAGCGTAATGTTCCTGCAGTGGGGACTAAATGATCTGATGGTACAATCTCGCCACTAGTAGCTCCTCAATGTTGCTATGATGTGACCTCTAGATGACCTACGCTGTTCTGACCTGGTAAGAACTGACGAAGACCTCTAGAGAGACTCTCTCTAGAGGTCTTATGCTCTTGCAGTGGAGATCATGACCTGATGATGCGCTGCTGCTAGTAGCAGCTTCTAGTATTGCGAACTATGATGTGACCTCTCTCCTGAAGCTGATGCTATACTGACCTAGTTAGAAATTACATAAGTGGAGACTAGATAATTATCCTGATGCTGCACTGACCTGGTTGGCGATGACGCAGGCGCGGTTGACGGCCTCGGCCTCCACCTCCTCGTCGCGGGACAGCTGGTGGCCGTGAGGGCCGGTCACTCCCGCCATTCATTCTAAATTTTAACTTTGGCAGCTCCTCACTATTGCTATGATGTGACCTCTCCCTTGGACTAGATGACATAATGATGCACTGACACCAGATCAGTAGCTCCTCAGTGCTGCTATGTTGTGACCTCTCTTGACCTGATGCTACACTGGTTGGCAATGAGTCTGCCTTGTTGCCTATAGCAGCTCCTGTGTTACTATGATGTGACCTCTCTCTTGGACTAGATGACCTGATACCTCTAGCAGCTCCAGTGTTGCTATGATGCTGCACTGACCTGGTCAGCGATGATGCAGGCCTCTAGAAAGAATATTGCTCCTGCAGTGGAGATCAGATGTCTATCCCAGCTCCCGTAGCTCCTCAGTGTTGCTATGGTGTGATCTCTCTCTCCAGATGCTGTACTAATGGTTAGCAGGTCTCTGGTAAGTTAGAGAGGGTCAAGCTCCTGCAGTGGCGACTAGATGACCTGATGCTGCAATCCTGCCTTTCGCTGCTCCGCACTGTTGCTATGATGTGCCGTCTCTCTTGGACTAGATGACATAATGATGCACTGACACCAGGTCAGTAGCTCCTCNGTCTCGCTGGCCGAGCTCGCGCATCTTGCGGCCGGTGGGCGTGCTGCAGCCCGATGACACAGACATGGCTTCCAGCTGCTTGTTTACCAGCGTCAGCTCTGGAAGAGATTAAAGTCAATTATTTTTCGTTCGTTCGTTTCAGCCAAATGACGTCTACCGCTGGACAAATGCCTCCCCCAAGGTTTTCCATAGTTATTTTTAGCAACAGAAAATAAGTGAAATGGCCTCAATAAACAGTGGGGAGTATAGGCCAAATCCTTTCGTTCGTTTCAGCCAAATGACGTCCACTGCTGGACAAAGGCCTCCTCCAAGGATTTCCACAAATACCAGTCCTGCGCTGCCCGCATCCAGGCACCTCCCGCGACCTTCACCAGATCGTCGGTCTACCTAGTCCATCTTCCGGTCAGTGGTCGCCATTAGAGAACTTTTCTGCCCCAGTGGCCATCAGATCTGCGAGCTAAGTGCCCCGCCCACTGCCACTTGTTTTTAGCATGTCTGCAGGCTATGGTAGTCACTTGATTCACCTGTAGGCCAAATCCTCTAGTCTCTTGTAAATTAGGCGATTATCACACTGCACCGCGCTCCGCCGCGGTACGCGGGACGATAGATTTAATCATTATATGCAAGTACCTCAGTTTGTATAGAAAACAAGCGCGGCACAACACACTGACAACGCGTTTGCGCGCGGGATTTTTTATATGTCGCCACGCGGACCGCGGTGCAGTGTGATAATCGCCTTAGGGAGAGACGTGCAGTGGAGAGTAAATGCCCCTTAAGGACTACCTATTTTTTACTATATTTAACGTTCATAAGTGCCACCAGTGGTCGAAATTGAATAAAATTTTGAATAGTCAAACATAGTTTAAATGCAGATGTAGTACATTATGTCGGTTACTTTGGTGATCCGCAGGAGAACCAAAGTAACCGACATAGCTCGCAGAATTGCTAAAATCAAGGGCGGGGCACATAGCTCGTAGAGACGATGGCCGTTGGGGCAGGAAAGTTCTCGAGTGGCGACCACGGGCTGGAAGACGTAGCGTGGGCAGGCCTCCTACTAGGTGGACCGACGATCTGGTAAAGGTCGCGGGAAGAGCCTGGATGCGGGCAGCGCAGGACCGTTCATTGTGGAAAACCTTGGGGGAGGCCTTTGTCCAGCAGTGGACGTCATTTGCCTGAAACGACGACGACGAGTACATTACACTTTACCATACACTACACACTTGCAATACACTGACCATGCGGTAATGCTTGTTTAATTTACTTTAATCTAATTTAGTCTAATTTAATTTATAATATTTATTTTCACATTTATAAAGTTTATGTAAATACATAATTATTATTTGATTAGTGACTCGGAATTTCACACCCAGTTCACATGTAATTCGCTTACTTAGTTTTGAATTGTTTTCGTGTTCACCTACCTACCCACGTTAACTTATTTAAAAATGTTTTAGTAATAGAATGTGTTTCTTTAATTGGCTTATGTTCAAGTTGTATCTTCCTGCACATTTATGTACAATTTAATGCTGTTGAAACATTGTTAAACAAATAAAATAAAATAAAATTATGGCTTTGATGAGTGGTGTGGTGATAAGGATGAGTCGCTTGGACTAGGGTGAGCTGCTAGTTTAGTACTAACCGTGGTGGGTAGGCGTGGAGTTCCCGTTGGTCCCGTTAGCCGCCTCCTGCTGCGGAGAAGCGGGCGCCGAGCGGAGCGAGCCGGCGCCGTAGATGTAGGGGCTGTTGACGGGCGTCTTGAGGAAGCGGCCGGACCCTGCAAGGATATTAAGATAATATACACTCGACGTCAAATAAATCGCACCTTCCGCGACTAGCATTTTCAAACGTATGCATCCCCACTTCCCACCAATATTGGTACCATTTAAAAGCCTAGTTCTAACCTTTATTTCATTAAAGGAAAGGTTTTTACCCCAAAAATGTGTCCTTAGAAGAATCCAGAGTCACTTCTTCAAAAAATAGGTAGTTACGCTAGAGCCAACTTTTATGGCTAGAAAACTGTTAAGTTGGGTTTAATTGCTATCCATCTGTTAAAGAGGACACGTGAAATCATTATTTGGTGTTATAACCATAAAAATTGGTCTAATTGATCCCATAGGTGGGCCCAAAGTGAGGTATTTTTTCAAGTCACATTTATGGTATATGTTAATCATTTATTAAGAAAGTAAATCTGTTTTTCTTTAAGGATATTTATTGGCCTTTCAAATAACACCAATATTGTTGGGGTACCATGATTGTGTCAGAAGAAAATCGTTAAAGTTCGCGTCGCGGAAGGTGCGATTTATTTGATGTTGAGTATAGAATACTTATATTATACAGTACATAACATTTATCAAAACTTAGAGGCTATGCTGAAGAGGCGCTCAGCAATATTCGCGACATAACACAAACCTCATGTCAAGAAGCTGGTTTTCAGCGGGAATTAACACACGATGAGGATTGCGGATTGCGCGTCTGACCGAGACGATATCCAAATAGTAAAAAAGTAACTTTTGGCTGATTAATTTCGTTGCGTTTAACTTTCCACCGGAACAAACTTAACCTTTACAGGTAGGGTTTTTATTAGCGGTCAAGTAGGAGCAGCGGTGGGAAGAAGAGTTTGGAATAGTCCCGTTAGCTTTTGTGTACGGCTTCGCTTACATGAAAAATTGGTCACAGTAAACAATAACACTGTAAGGTTTCATCAAAATATTCTACGAATCTTTTTTCTCTTTCACGCCAGCCATGTGTCTCAAAATGAAAAGATTGTTTGTATTGTGGATGAAAATGCAAATACAACATTAGTGTAAACCATGTTTTACAATACATAAGGTAAGTCATCACATACCCTCAGCCACCCGGAGGTCCCCGTCATCGAGGCACACTCGCCCGTTGACAATCACGTACTGAGGGCTGCCCACCACGTGCTGGCCCTGTAAAAGTAAAACAATTGTTTTTTAGATTATAGACGTCATATAGTCATTTTGTCGCCCAAATATAAACGAGTCCTCACATTATAATTCACCCTCTGCATTGTACAGTTTAACAACGGCTGAATGGGTTTCTGGCGAGTAATTAGATAGCCAAGCGAGTGAATATGATATTTGAGTACTCGTCACTGCAATTATACTTGCTAGCTCGAGTAAACGTGGGTCGCTGGAAGTGTCTAAAGCCTGGTCCGTGAGCACGTAGAATCCCGTCCAATGACCCCAAGCTGCCCATCCTTGTCGCTCGCACGTAATTATGTTGCTGTCGCGCTCGCATACTCACTGCGGGCGCGCGTCGCACAGTCGCGACAGCAATATAATTACGCGCGAGCGATAAGGATGGGTAGCTTGGGGTCATTGGACGGGATTCTACGTGCTCACGGACCAGGCTTTAGATATGCGCAGCGTAGAACCAGTCATTTTAGACATCTTTGGGAGAGGCTATTATCCTGCAGCAGTTGTCTAAAGGTCAAAACCCTTTTCCATCCTATACAGGACCAGCTGAATTAAGAGAGAGCGAGAGGTAGGACCAGTCTTGTTACCTCAACGATGTTGTAGTACACAGCATGCCGATACCTTCGTTTCACCAGCACAGAGACTTAAGTATCTAGCTCTAGTCTTCCCTCGTTTGCAGTGCTATATTACACCTTACCTCGAAGATGTTAAAGTCCATGCCGGTGCACTGGAGTCTAGTCTAGTCCTTTCAGCACCAAGCTAAATTAGTCCTTACCTCAACAATTTTCTTGCTTGAGAAACGTCACGCATTTCAAGACCAGTAATTTTGTCGCTGGGCTATAAAGCGAGTGGGCGAGTGCGACGGGCGAGTAGAATGGTGGTTGAGTGTTGTCTTGGCGAGTAATTAGATCGCCAAGCGAACATCGCTCATCGCTGAGCGAGTATAACATTTGACGACTCTTGCAGCTGCTTTAAAGGTCGCCGGAAATATCTAGATACGCGCAGCGTAAGCCCAGTCGTTGGATGAGACCATTGTCCTGCTGCAGCTGTCTATAGGTAGAAAAGGAATCCAGGAGTTTCTTTATTGAGAGAGAGAGAGACAGGTAGGATCCTGCTACCTCGACGATATTGAAGTCTAATAGTGCACTCGCTTCACCAGAGACTCTAGCGTCTAGCTCTGTTCCTTTCTCGCTCATAGTCGCCAGGTTTAAGCCAAAAGCGTCCTTACCTCGAAGGTATTAGAGTCCACGGCATGCCAGTACGTACACTGTTAGGGTCTAGCTCGTTCGCAGTCATCAGCAGGCTAAATTAGTCCTTACCTCGAAGATATTAAAGTCCACGGCATGCCGGTGGGCGGCGGCGGACATGGTGCGCTCGAGGCGCGGGTCCCACACCACGATATCCGCGTCGCTGTTGGCGGCCACGCGGCCCTTCGCCGGCCATAGGTTGAAGATCTTGGCTGCGAGAGCTGGTCATATGGCTACTGCTGTCCCATAGATGACTGAGCGAGTAACTTGTAACAGCTTTCTTGCTCGAGAAACGCAACGTAACGTAAGGCCAGTAATGTTGTCGCAGCGAGTGTGCGAGTGCGACAGGCGAGTAGAATGATGGCTGGATAGTCTCTTGGCGAGTAATGGGATCGCCAAGCGAGTATCGCTCATCGCTGAGCGAGTGAGTATAATATTTGAGTACTCTTGTGGCTGCTAGTATTCATGCTAGCTGAGATAAAAATAGCTGGAAGTGTCTAGATACGCGCAGCGTAGAGCCAGTCATTTTAATCACCCTTTGTCCTGCAGCAGTTGTTGTATTGAAAGAGAGGTAGGATCAGTCCTGGTACCTCGACGATATTGTAGTCCACAGCATGCCGATACCCTCGCTTCACCAGACTAGAAACTTAAGCATCTGGCTCTCGTCTTTTCTCGTTTCTTTTGTCTCGTCTCGCAGTGCTAAATTGGTCCTTACCTCGAAGATATTAAAGTCCACGGCATGCCGGTGGGCGGCAGCAGAGATGGTGCGTTCGAGGCGCGGGTCCCACACCACGATATCCGCGTCGCTGTTGGCGGCCACGCGGCCCTTCGCCGGCCATAGATTGAATATCTTCGCTGCGTTCGAGCTGGTGACAGCTACGAAGCGGCACGGGTCCATAATGCCTGGAGATTGAGATTTTTGTGATGATTTTCAGTTGATCAAAAGTAGCCAACATAGCTTGCTGAATTGCCAAACTTAATTGGCAATGGGCAGGGCACATAGCTGGGCATTAACTCGTTAATCCGTTAATCGTTAATTAACGAAGTTAACATTTCTATTAACGGATTAACTTTGAAGTTAACTTTAAAAAATGTTAACGGACTCGTTAACTTCCGTTAAATTATCCTAATTCCGTTAATCGTTAATCCAGTACCTACTATTTACCAAAAAGATACAGCAGGCACGCTGAAAAACGCTAGAAAAACGCGTTCTGACAACTACGCTCGGGCTTCCAGAACTTTCAGAACCCAAAACAACAGTTTTTGTAACCAGATCACTAACGCAACGATATAAAAAATGCTATTTTTTTATTTATTTACAAGCTTTATATTGACTTCACTTGTGAGTATGTATGGAACAAATCTTGCAACTGAATTTAAGAATTCCCTCAACCGATTGAGCTGAAAACAAGCTTTTATTCTGAAATGCAGTTGTCCTAAAACAAAAAAATAATTGTACTTATGCAAGGTTCAAATAATTTCGGAAGCTGGTAGCGCAAACATAAAAGAGGAATAAATTCCATGCGCGATACAAGCCTTCGAAATTATTTGAACCTTGCATACAATTATTTTTTTCGTTTTATTATCACGTGTTAACGGATTAACGATTAACGTTAACTTGCGTTAAATCTTCCGAAATATAACGTTTTAACGTTTAACGAAGTTAATTTTTTTAGTAACGGTTTAACGATTAACGAAGTTAACTATTTGATTAACGGTGCCCAGCTATGGCAGGGCATATAGCTCGTAGAACTGATCTGTGACAATGTGTTTAAACCACAATAGTCTAGCGGCTGATGAGGATCGAAATAGTGTTCCTTGAATCTTGAATTAGTAGTCGCTTCATTTGATAGACTCAGGACAAAATGCACATGTTTTTTATTTTTTAAACTTAATTAATTTTAACATGTTTTAACCCGATATGCGTTTAAGTAATCGTTGACTCGTTATGTAATGACTTAGGACATTTTCCTGAGCGCTGTAGCGCCCCTAGAAGCTTCTTTCAAGACCTAAAATCTTCATAGATTTTTTGATTCACTCAGCATCGAGGACACCTAACGTAACCGGCGAAATTATCCCGTCAAGTGGCGCTATCAGTTACTTTTTATACTGACTTCCAATATACCAGTGTTCGGTAACAGTCTGTTCTAATGGTATTAAGTTCTAATCTAAAAAATATTAAAACAAGATTTTCTCAGACTGCTTAAGGATTTACTAGAATAGAACAGCCCTTACCAGTGTTAACAGCCTTCTGCCACAAGATGGCCATGCGGTCCTCAACCCCGTTGACTCCATTGGGAATCTTCGAGAAGTTGTTCTTGCCAATTTCCTTGTCTTTCTCATGGAAGGTACAGTTGTCGCTGCCGATCAACTGCAGGCGGTCACTGGAAGTAAAGTACAGGTTCGGTGCCCGGTGGTGACATGATATCATTATTTTAGCCGCAAGACGTCTACTGCTGAACATAGGCCTTCCTCACAGATCACAGAAACTAAAGGAAGATGTGAAAAGGGGGCGGGGCCGGTGTCGCAGCAATATGCCCAAATACAGAACACATTGCTCGTGACAGCAATGATGACAGCAGCGACGTCATAACAGTTCACATTGCTTGCGTAGTACTAAAGATTATTCGAACGTTGAGTACTGATACCGCAGTGGATAATGAGCAAGCACATAACACCTCCTAGTGCCTTCATCCTTAATACAAATAACTAAGGTTCAAAGTGCAATACTTGCTAGCGTATCAACATAAGCTGGGGGTGGAGAAGTAGTTCTAGATCTTACGACAGATCAATCGAGTAAGGCCTACTCAAGTACTAACTTCAAATTTAACACAAGTATACAGGGTGGAATTTTGTAATGCCACCTGGAGGGAAAGTACCTACTCTTAATATTGTAGACAGATTTTTTTTTCTCAAAGAAAACATTTCTTTATTTTTGAAAAGAAATAGAACTGCATTCAAAGATTTCCAAAAATTTGCTTGCCACACAAAATTACATCCTGTATTTTTATTGCATCGATCGTTAGGGTTTAGTAAAAGAATGAAATCTCTCTAACAAAAGGAAAACCATGAAATCTTAAATTATTTTAATTATGTACGAATTTTTTTTCGAAAATCTTTGAATGCAATTCTCTTTCTTTTCAAAAATAAAGGAATGTTTTCTTTCAATAAAATTTTCTATCAGTATTATGAGTACTTTCCTTCCAGGTGGCATTACAAAATTCCACCCTGTATAGGGTTTAAAATGCAACTCACTCGGCCAGCGCCTCGCACATGGCCTGGGGGGTAGAAGGATCCGGCCGCAGCGGCGGAGAAAGAACGTGCGCGGCCGCGTGACGGAAGCACGAGTTGCGGTAGTGGGTACCTGTAGAAAGTGATATGTTGTACTACCCTCATAAATAAAAGACGATTTGTTTTGCAAAAATTTTCTGATTTCTCATTATTAGTCGATTTTGGTCACTTTAAGGACGGTTTGAACTCGACTAATGGTCGGCTTTTGCTTATCAACATAATGTGTTTTTAAACAGAGGTTTACACTTTCAAAAAATAAATTATGTAATTATTTTGGCCCAATTTAGCAAATAAAATCAATTCGTAACAAAAGAAATGGGGCACTTCCACCAAGCGAACAGAAGAGGAGACTATAGATGTTTTGAATAACCAATTAGATTTCGTTATTTCCATACCAACTCTCCGCTCAGCTTCTTATTCAAGACCCATCTCCTCTCTTCGCCGCTTTTATGGAAAGGGGCCTTAGTGAGTCCTCATAATAAGCCGTTTTTGCAACACCCTATACAGGGTGTGGTTTTGTAACACAACTTAATACAACTTTCACATGAAAGTAACTACAAGAAAAATATTAATAAAATTTTAATTACCACTTTATTAGCTTTATTAGTAAAAAACCTTGTTCAAACGTCTCCTAAAACTTTCGAGACTTTTTCTATTGTCATGGATTTTTCCATGATATTTTTTTTTGGCATCAGTGTCGTGTATACTCCTACCCCTGAAATGGGCGTTGTTTTACAAAACCACACCCTGTATATCTCACCATCAGTTCCAACGGTAGCAGCCAGAGTTTCTCCATACACTGGCGGCTTCTGGCGCGCGCGCGCATTCTCCAAGGCTTGGACTGCGCTCTTGGACATCATGTGGACAATGTACAGCGGGGAGTTCGCCTGGAATAGGAAATATAGCTTTAGAACAGTGGTTCCCAAACTTGTTTTGTCTACTGCCCACTTTGAGAATAAATTCTTTTTAGCGCCCCCATTTGTAGTCGAGAGTCGAGTGCTCAGTCGGTGTCTAAGTGACCTCCTAGTAAATGACGCCTCCCAAGCCTCTACACAACGTCCCGATTTTTTTTCTGGGTCTCTTACCGCCCCCCTTTAAGCCTGCGCTATCGCCCACTTTGGGAAAGACCAGTGGCGTAGCGTGGCTTTTCGCCGCCCGGGGCCGTCCGGAAATCCGCCGCCCTTTATTTTAATTATAAATATTTTAAAGTTTAAATATTAATTATATTGAATGGACTTCAGGTACACTATTCACCTTATTTGTTGAAAGTCAAAATAAACTACCACGCACTGCTTCAGAAGGAAAATACATTAAAGAGAAGCAATTGCTTGAAACCCACAGGAAGTTTGATTTTCTTAAATAGCTCAGCTTTATTATAGTTAGGGAGGCGAGGTAGCTAAATGGCGTAATTCAACGGCGCCGTCGAGACCTATCAAAATCGAAAGATAAAATAATTTCGAAAAGAAAAGCTCGTATGGCAAAAACCATTTTAGCGGTGGGTTTGGCGTGTACGGTTTTTCAAAAATGTTAAAAAAAAACAGTTACTTGGGCATTCTCGAGCGCGTCAGATATTCATACTACGTATGCCCCGAGTGCCTCTGATAACAACGGTATACTAATCTGCCGGTTTGCGTGGTGGGGGTAGGCATATAAAGTAGTCAAAAAGAGGGGTAAGTAAGCTCCTTAAATATTTTTGTTACTATTACTTAAAAAAATAGATTAAAAATTTACTCTTCGTGCTTTTTTCAAAGCAAAATCTTTTACACAATCGTCGATATCAAATTGTATCTCATTTTCAATTGCCAGTATAACTAGATTTGTTAGTCTCAACGTAGACATAGTCGACCTTTTTTTTTCTTGTTCATGCAATGTTTTTTTTTCTTATCCGCCGCCCCCTTTCATATGCCGCCCGGGGCCATGGCCCCCCCTGCCCCCCCCAAGCTACGCCACTGGGAAAGACTGCTTTAGAAGGAGAGAAAGGAACGTTTGTTGAAATGGTACAAAAGTGACAGAAGAAAACGCAAAAAGAGGAAATAAATTATGATCTGATTTAGCCAAGCCTGTTTGTGTAATTCTATTTATTGTTCACTGTGACAAAAATTGCCTCCAGTTAAAGTTCCTAAAGTTTTGGACATTAGCGCGAATGGTCTTTTGCGCGAAAAGACATTAGAGCGTTTGGATTGCTCGAAAAGACGCTTCTGACAGTTCCAGCGTATATTTGATGTTGCCCTGGCCTGCTTAGCGATGATGCAGGCTTCTAGAAAGGGTATTGCTCCTGCAATTGAGACCAGAATACCTGATGAAGCACTTCCGCTTCTAGCAGCTCCTTAGTGTTGTTATGACTAAACTTGACCTTCATTGGTTGGGTTTTTATGGCGGTCAAGCTGTAGCACAGGAGTTGCAGTGGTGGGAACGAGAGGTGGGAATAGTCCCGTAGTGTTGTTATGACATGACCTTTCTTGATCAGATGCTACACTGATCTTTTTAATGATGATGCAAGTATCTGGAGAGGGTATTGCTCCTGCAGTGGCGACTAGATGACCTGGGAGCAATGACGCAGGCCTTTGGTAAATTAGAGAGACGCGTACTCCTGCAGTGGAGACTAGATGACCTGATGGTATACTGACCTTGTTAGCGATGATGCTAGTCTCTGAAGAGGGTATTGCTCCTGCAGTAGGAGAGGATGACCTGATGCCTCTAGCAGCTCCTCAGTGTTGCTATGATGCTGCACTGACCTGGTTGGCGATGACGCAGGCGCGGTTGACGGCCTCGGCCTCCACCTCCTCGTCGCGGGACAGCTGGTGGCCGTGAGGGCCGGTCACTCCCGCTTCTAGAAGCTTCTCGGTGTTGCTATGATGTGACCTCTCTCCTGATGCTGCACTGATCTGGTTAGCGATGATCCAAGTCTCTGGAGAGACTAGATGACCAGACGCTAGCCTGGTTAGTAGGCCTCTCGCAAGTTAGAGAGGATCGAGCTCCTGCAGTCGCGACTAGATGACCTGATGATACTCTGACCTGGTTAGCGCTGGCCTCTAGAGAGGGTACTCCTCTTGCAGTGGGGACCAGATGGCCTGATGATGCAAGTCTCTAAAGAAGGTATTGGTGTCCTGACCTGGTTAGCGATGATGCAAGCCTGTGGTAAATTGGAGGCGCGTGCTCCTGCAGTAAAGACTAGATGACCTGATGCTGCACTGACCTGGTTGGCGATGACGCAGGCGCGGTTGACGGCCTCGGCCTCCACCTCCTCGTCGCGGGACAGCTGGTGGCCGTGAGGGCCGGTCACTCCCGCTTCTAGAAGCTTCTCAGTGTTGCTATGATGTGACCTCTCTTGATATGCTGCACTGATCTGGTAAGCGATGATCCAAGTCTCTGGAGAGACTAGTTGACCTGATGCTAGCCTGGCTAGCAGGCCTCTCGCAAGTTAGAGAGGATCGAGCTGCTGAAGTGGCGACTAGATGACCTGATGATGCACTGACCTGGTCAGCAGGTCTCTGGTAAGTTAGAGAGGGTCGTGCTCTGTGCTGACGCCTCTGGCAGCTCCTCAGTGTTGCTATGATGCTGCACTGACCTAGTAAGCTATGCTGCAGGCCTCTAGAAAGAGTATTGCTCCTGTAATGGAGACTAAATGACCTGGGTAGTAATTACGAAGGTCTCTAGAGAGGTTATAGCTTCTGCAGAGGACACTAGATGACTTGATGCCCCTAGCAGCTCCTCAGTGTTACTATACTAGGTGCGACCTCTGTCTGCACTGACTAAGTTGGCAGGCTTCTAGTAAGTTAGAGAGGGTCTTGCTCCTGCAGTGAAGACCAAATGACAATGACGCAATTCTGCCTGACCTCTCTCTTGGACTAGATGACATAATGATGCACTGACACCAGGTTAGCAGCTCCTCTGTTGCTATGATGTGACCTGTCTCCTGATGCTGCACTGACCTGGTTGGCGATGATGCCAGTTTCTGGAGAGGGTATTGCTCCTGCAGTATGAAGTAAAAGAACTGATGCCTCTAGCAGCTCCTCAGTGTTGCTATGGTGTGACCTGTCTCCTTATGCTGCACTAACCTGGTTGGCGATGACACAGGCGCGGTTGACGGCCTCAGCCTCCACCTCCTCATCGCGGGACAGCTGGTGGCCGTGAGGGCCGGTCACTCCCGCCTCTAGAAGTTTCTCGGTGTTCCGGGCGATGATGTGGCCGTTTTCGGCGTGAACCTGGAGAGACCAAGTAGAGGTTTTAGAAAATAAAGACAAATAATTAGGAGTCACTTAAGAATAGATTGTTTCGGCCGCAAAATGCAGCATCCTAAAAGTGTTAGTTAATTTTTAGCGTTAAGTCGCATCTCAAACTAATTTGAAAATTATAAATAACTTGAAAAAATCGAAATCCAGTGTCTACGCTCAGTTGGAAGAGCAGTCGCCCGGCAAGCAGAAGGTCGTGGGTTCAATTCCCGCCTTAGGCAGTTCGATTTTTTCAAGTTATTTATAATGATACTCTAGAGTTCTAGACTGAAACTAGTAGAACCTACCTACCCTACAGAAGCTTAAACATTTTATGGATGAGGTTACGAGTAGGTACTATAAATATAATCTCTAAAATCTTATAGTTAAGTCAGTCAGATAGAAAAACATATTATTATCGTCAAGATATGAAAAATACGTGGTAAAAATGTTTTTTAGATTTTAAACTTTCCCGTTCCATTTCAACTAAAACGACGCCGCGAGCCGTCAGTCTGCTTGTGACCACGGCTGCAGCATAGCAGCCGAAACGTCAAGCCGTTAGTACATAATGTAACTCATATAAAAAACGTTAAGTTAATACCCGTGTTTCTCTATTTTAGGTTTTTTAGAATAGAGTAACATATTTTATCTTACCTGAGCCAAAGCCCTTAGTTCAGTGCACGTTTCCATGGCGCAAGAAAGGTCATAATCGTCCAGCATCCACGCGTCCTTATACGCCATGAACATCTTGAAAGAGTTCACTCCGTACTCCTCGGAGGTCAGCTTCTCCATTTCCTTCTTCACGGAGGGAGACCACCAGGTCACGCCCACGTGGAGACCGTAGTCGCAGCATACCTGAAGGTATCAAGACCAATCTATCAATATCAATAATCCAATCTATAAATGCGAAAGTAACTCTGTCTGTCTGTCACGCTTTCACGCCTAAACCACTGATCCGAAATTTTGATGAAATTTGGCATAGATATAGTTTAAGTCCCGGGAAAGGACATAGGATTAGTTAGTTTTTATCCCGGTTTTTGAAACAGGGACGCGCGCGATGGTTTTTTTGGGATAGACAAAATTCCACGCGTGCGAAGCCGCGGGCGGAAAGCTAGTATAAGATAAGTGAGATCCGTATTGAGGTCATTATACACTTATCAACCCGGAAAGGGATCAAAAACGTATCGCCTTTCGTTTCGTAAGCGTTTACGTTACGGTTCGGATAGTGTGCGTTGTACTACGGACTTTCATACAAAGAATACTGACCGCCTCGAGTTGATACGGTTACGATCCGTTTCCGGGTTGATACGTGTGCTTTGTCCTTTACAAAACAATAACAAGTAATAATAAAGTCTTGCCTAAGCCTCGATTCGCTAGACTGAAGATCTAGTGAACATTTTTTATGTGATAGGTGATTTACATGTTTTGTAAACTTTGGGATTTTATGAACATAATTATTTACCTTGCCGTCAGCCTTCTGTCTCCAGTTGTTGTAAGCTTCCACAAGAGACTGTCCCTTCTGAGGTAGAACGAAGTCAACTGAAAAAAGGAAGAAAATATTATTTAGTAGGTCATCCCCTAACTAAGCAGTCTTCCTTTACCCGGCTTCGAGCGGCAATGGCGCTGTACGTATTATACGTCGTGCTAGTGAGTGTTTACTTATCCTTCATAATTAATTTTACCAAGGACGACAACAGTGAAAGTTGACCTTTTACACTAGGTACGGGTTATTCAAATATTAGTATTTAGGTGAGGTGACTGGATTATGTAGCGTTAACTTCTTTTGAATCAACATGAAAATTAAAAAATATATTAATATGAACTTACGCTGAATTTTAAGGAGCGTTTGGAAGTATGTTAAACTTTTCATTAATTAAACCTTAATACCTAAGTTATAAGGATATTTAAGGGTACCTTTGCCTCCATCTGCCTGTGATAAATGCGAGAGCATCGTATTAGCAGTGGAGACAAAATTACTTGATGACTAGGATACTAACGGACCGACGACCTCATAAAGGTAGCAGGAAGGCCAACCGGCCTTTGTGGAATTCATTGGGGGAGGCCTATGTTCAGCAGTGGACGTCCTGTGGCTGAAATGATGATGATGATGAAGGATACTTACGAACAGTAGTAGTTCCTCCAGCTACCGCCGCTCTGGTCCCCTTGTAGAAGTCGTCAGCAGCCTTGGCACCCATCATTTCCAACTCGAAGTGGGTGTGGGGATCAATTCCTCCCGGAATCACCAGTTTCCCGGTTGCGTCGATGGTGCGGGTTCCCCCGGGGATGATGAGGTTGCGGCCCACTTGTCTGGAAGAGAGAAAAAGGGGGTTAGTGGATTGGAATTAACCTTTATTTGTACTTCGTTTAAACAAAGGGATTAGGGATAAAAACCAACCTCATACTATTGTTCCTGGATTTTTATATCCTTATTTATGCCCATCTCAATCGGTTCAAACGTTTAAGGCTGCGTTGAACCACGTAGCTTTAACAGTAACTAACTGGTGTTTTTTGTATGGAGTTTGACAGATAATTGACGTTTGTTAAAGTTAAAGTAAGATGGTGCAACTCAGCTTTAGAATGAAAAGGCAAGGGACAGACAGACAGTTTGTTATTTTGTATTTATAAAATGACATGTTAAGTTATGTTGACTATAACATAAAAAACGTATCATCCAATAAATAAATCACAGCGTTTATCTTATTTTGTTTGTAGTCATCTATACAATTCATGTTATTAAGAAACCATTTTTTCGCTAATTGAATTCTGATAGATTTAATTATGAATTTAACAAAAAACAGTCAGTTCAAACCAATAATACCTCCATCCCAAAATAAATGTGGGGGAATCAGCTGAGTCACCCCACTTCCTACTCAGAAGTGATTTAATTTAACCAATTGTTAACGTTAACTATAACGAAATGCGTTGCATTGGGGTTAAGAATCTATTGACCTGGTATTTTAAATGATGCGGGAACTATTTTATAGGGTTCCTTAGTCCTGGAAAAGAACCATTCATCTTAATTTTGTTAAGTAGTTACACTTCTTCTAATATACCTAAATATTAATGAAAACGCTAGAGGAAGTAGAATCTATCGCCCGTATCAATTCACCAACGATGCTTGCTTAAGTGAAGCAGCAAATCGAACGCACAGTGTTGAATAGATCTCTGTGATTGGTTTGTGTGTCACGCTGTGCGTCTACGCGCACTGTGAGACCTCATAGTAACGTTTGCGAATACGGGCGTATGTTTTATGTAGGGGACGCAGGGAATCATCTAATTATCTGTTTCCACTGTTAGGCTGAGTTGCACCACCTATAACCGGCGTTTTTGTATGGAGTTTTGTTTAACAGATTTTTGACGTTTGTCAAAGTTAAATTAAGATGGTGCAACCCAGCCTTAGGCCCAGTTTTTTGATTTATAGTTAAATTAACTAATTGTTAAATTTTGCTACTAATGGTTAAATATTAACAAAATGTAAACTAATAGTTAAAAAATGTACTAAAAGCCAAGCTAACCATTGTTCTAAAAACGTTTTTTCTGATATTTAACCACTTGTCATTTGACATCTGTCAAATTTGACCATTGGTTATTTTAACTAAGAATCAAAAAACCGGGCCTTAGTGTTCCCGAAGTAAAATTTTCGCAACGTCCACCAGGGTGGACGTCTGGTGGTGGGCGCTGGGAATAAAAATAATCCCTTGTCATGTGGAAACTTCTTGTGTCTGGTCCTTTAACTGAATACAGACCAGCGTTGCCAGTTTATTTTTCGCCAAGTCGGGACTTTGGTACTTTTTGAGTGAAAATAGCGGGATTCTTCCGTCAGAAGCGGGACATAGTAAAAAAACGTATATAATCAAAGGTTTTCAAATATTTAGTATCTTTTTATTTGACTTAAAATTACGTTTACGTGACAATAGATAGCAAAAGTAGCCATAGAAATGTATTTTAACAAAAAAAATAATATTTTAAATCAGATTTACTCTATCGTTAAATTCGTCTTTAGAATAAAAAAAGAAAAAAAAAATAAAAAAGTTTTATTCTTTAGAATAATATGGCGTTTCAAACAATAGTCTGGTGAAGTGAGTGTCTCTCTCTGAAAAGCGGGACCGAGCCTGTAACGCGCGGGACATTTAAATTTGATTTAAAAATCGGGACGTCCCGCCAAAATCGGGACGTCTGGCAACGCTGATACAGACCCGTATAAAATAGAGGTCTGAGTTGATAAGTGTTTATAATTTAAAAAAAAATACAAACTTTTCTTCCTCAGTGCTTCGGAAGCAAACCTAGTAACCGTCATAAAAATAATTCTACATATTTCGTAAGTAGTATTTTCCATAACAATCACTCGTAAGTGTGTGAACTGCGAAACAATGGTTTTACGCGTTACAACAATGGCGACATCAACTAATACTAATGTCACTTGTAATTTTATGAATATTACACCAGAATTGAGTTCATACAATTTGTGAATACGTAAGAAACGTTGAACATAAAATTAGAAGGACAATAACCTACATAATAGCAAGCAAATACATGGTTTAACTATCCTATTTACAAAGGTTTAGATTTAGGATAAAAAATTGACCACGAGAAACCAGTAACTGAGAAAACATTTACTTACATGCCATACAGTGTTAAGATTGATTTTGATAAAATTATTCAATTGTTCCTTTTGCCTATAGGCGATAAAATAGGAACGTATTTAAATCACTGTCCATAATCATTGATTTAACATAAAATATTCAATGCCTCCTAAAAACTAAAGTTCCGTACGTAGCAAAACATCGGTTGATATGGAACGACCGGGGACGATAGGGCTGTCGTCCCATGCTAAAATAGTACGAAATATACCTACTTTTTTTATAAATGCGAAATAATGTATGAAATTGAAAAGTTTATTAAAAATACCTCAAGTTGTTTTTGCGAGAAGGAGTAATAATGATCATCAGGTCATTTATTTACCCCCCAGAGAAGCAAAGGGTTATTTTGTTCCATACTTCTCACGCTGGCCAGGGGAGATCTAATGCTCGCATATTTGTCCCATTCCCATAAGGACTACACGGCTTTATTTCAAACGAAACATGTCGCCGGCTTGTACTTGTACTTTTTATGACGTTTGGCAACATGTCAAAACACATGTACATTAGTAGCCTTTTTCAACATCCATGGGAAGAGTGACTAGGAGTGATCCTATTAGGAACCACGCAGACTTTACATGTTTGTCAGTCAATATGTTGGTGGGGATTCTTGGATGGCTTAAACTTGGAGTGCAAGTGTGGTTTTGTTCCCCAGTCGGCGAAGCAAATGATGTCGTACCCTGCGTGCCCAAACAACTGCACGCAGCAGGAAGATTTAATGAAGGCTACTGACAACGCCTCTCTTGTGGCGGAGTTTTGGGTTGACGCTGTGTAGGTTTGTTGTCGACACGACAAGAAGAAGAATAGGTTGTCAAACTTATCTGGTTAACTTTCATTAAAGACAACTGTCCTGTCCTGTGGATTTGGAGGAGAAAGAGGTTATTAAGGATGCCGAAATGTACATAATAGCTAGCTCCTAATTCAACTACACAAGATGTCTTATTGTTTAACTTTACTTGTTCTCATCTGAACTAAATTTCCCGCAGCAGCCAGCCCTGCTTGCGCACGCGCACGCTCGTTACCGCATTAGCGGCTTCCGGCGCGAATTCGAATGCGCGACGCGTCCACCATTTGAATTCGGAACTGGCCGTGGTTATCTAATACTTTGTGGGTAGGTAGTGTACCTACTGTGTACCGACGACCTCATGAAGGTAGCAGGAAGGCGCTGGATGCAGGCCGCTACCAACCGGGCGATGTGGACATCATTGGGGGAGGCCTCATAAAGACCCATAAAGAACCCATAAAGGTAGCAGGAAGGCGCTGGATGCAGGCCGCTACCAACCGTGCGATGTGGAAATCATTGGGGGCGGCCTCATAAAGACCCATAAAGGTAGCAGGAAGGCGCTGGATGTAGGCCGCTACCAACCGGGCGATGTGGACATCATTGGGGGAGGCCTCATAAAGACCCATAAAGAACTGTAGCGTCAGCGTACACTGCATTTGTTTATTAGACAAAACACAGTAGGTCGCGCGACCTACTGTGTTTTGTCTAATAAACAAATGCAGTGTACGCTGACGCTACAGAACCCATAAAGGTAGCAGGAAGGCGCTGGATACAGGCCGCTACCAATCGTGCGATGTGGAAATCATTGGGGGCGGCCTATGTTCAGCAGTGGACGTCCTGTGGCTGAAAAGTTAATGATGACAAGACTACAGTACCTACTATATCGTTAATTACTTATTTGTATAGAGTACGGGCCTTATTCTGAGAGAGATGCGCTCAAACGCTCCAATGTGAATGGATTGGATGGTTGGTTTCATTCAAATCAAACCTAAAAAACAATCTTATGAGATCCTAATAATAGAAACGATAGAGACTGCAAAAACCTTTGGTCGATAAATACTAGTATATTAATAGAATAAACCACATTATTATTGGCGAATCATGTTTTGGAGCGTAGAAAATCGTGACCAAAGAGTATATTTTTTGCCCATAAGAGAGCCTTTGTTGCCACTACTGATAAATGGTCCTTTGGTATAGTTTGGGTCAGTTACCTGTAGGATAACCTTGATGATAGGTAAATATTAAATGATACTGAATTAGTAAAAAGCAACGCAAAAAATACCTAGCAATTTACAAACTACATACAAATAATTATTGTTTTAACTTGCAATGTTTTTTTACATAATTTAGGTCAAATCAAATGTCACATGTGGGATTTTACTTCCCTTTTAGGGTGGATTTCGACCATACAAGGGTAAATATTAATCTCAGAATAAACTTGTCATGTTGACATTATTTCCCATACTGAAACTGTCAAATTGTCAATGTGCCAGTTATACCTGGAGTTATTCTCGGATAAAAGTTAGGTCGAATCGGGCCTCAGAGAAGTGTTTTAGAAAACATAACAATTTCAATGAATCTAGAAAATTAAACCCAGGAAATCTAGGTCAATCTTTAACTGCTACAGAAGCGCCAACAAAGTGAAAACTCTGTCCGCTGCACCGGCAGTTGGTCATAACCATAACCAATAACTGCGCGGGCGCACGCGAGACGAGAGATTGATAACGCAATGTTTACAAACACATGCGTGACGTAATGCCACTTCATCTGTGTGGGCGAGGTGCGAATGTGCTGGAAGTAGGGCGTTATGGTCATTGGAATATAGCAATACTAGCGGCCGCCCGCTACTTCGTACGTGTGGATCCCGTTTTACACCTTCATGGGTTGAATTTTGCAAAATCCCGTCGTCTTAGTCTGCTTTCCATTTTGCCAGGTTGGTAGCGGCCTGCGTCCAGCGCCTTCCTGCTACCTTTCACTAA